ATTGCATGTTTGGGATTTGTTTTTTGTGGTTGCCCGAATTAATTTCTTCTTTTTTAGTTCAGGAGAATGCTATTATCAGGACCTGTTTTTAAGTTACCTCTGTACCTTTATAATAGAGGCGGTGGTTTTCAAACTTTAGCATTACCACAATCACCTGGAGGATCTGTTAAACACAGATAGGCTCAGCCTCGGCACTTCTGATTCAGTATGTCTGACAGGGCCCAAGAATCTGCATTTCTAACGTCCCCAGGTGATGCTGCTGCTACAGGTCCTGCAAGTCCAGGCTTAAAATCACGGATCCGTAGTAGAGTCCTATCCTCCAAAGAGTCCATTGTTAATATTTAAAACTGAAACTGAATTATCCCCTAAGAGGAATATATCCTAAGAGAGCCTGACACCTGAAAATTACGATTCTCTGTCCTGGTGATAAAGAATAGAGAAGAGATCAGCTGGGCCCAAGTTTGTAAACTGGTGGCCTGTAATAAATTTTATTTAACCTGCATGGTTTTTAAAACTTAGGCACCAACATTTAACACTTAGGAGAATTCACTCAAAAACCCAATTTTTCAGTTTCTCTCTCCCTTTTTAAAAAAATATGCTTGATTTTAGAGAGAGAGAGAGAGAGGGAGAGAGAAACACTTGTGTGAATGCGAAACGTCCACTGGCTGCCTCCCATAAGCACCCTGACCAGGGGTCAAACCCTCCACCCAGGCATGTGGCCCTGATTGGGAATCGAACCCCCAACCCTTTGGTATATAGAACAACACTCCAACCAACTGAGCCGTACCAGCCAGAGACAGTTTCTGTTTAAATATCGAAATACATGGCAGTAGGAGACCTACATTCCTAGAAGGAAAAAAATAAGCAGGGACTGAGTAATGGTTATCTTCTTTAAAAAAACTTTTTTTTTTTTTTTGGCCAAGTAACAAGTGCGCATGTATAAAATTCAAAAGGTACAAAAGGACATAAGGAGAAAACTACACCTCTCTTCCAACCCTGGGCCCAGCATCTCGAGGCTGACTCTTTGAGATGAAACAAGTGCTCTTCGGACACCACTTGGCAGCGCCCGGCCCCTTTCCACTTGCTTCATTTGCCTGGCCCCTTGATGCGCTGAGTGTGCATCCAAGCCCATCTCACAGCTCCTCTTCTGCATGCCCACAGCACTTGGCCTATTATTTGCACTTCCACACTGACTCCTTTACAGGTCTCCCTTCTAGGCTGGGAGGTTCACAGATCCACCAGGGTAGGGTTTATGTCCTCTTTTTGGTGTCTGTTTCCTACTGCCTAGGATCCTGTCAGAGCAGATGTACAGGTTTGCGGAGGGAATTAGTGACTGAACAAACTGTGTATTAGTTTCAGGGCTCTGGCCTTAGGTGTAACTCAAACAGCAATTTAGTTTGGGTGAAATCAAGAATTTAAATCCCTTCGGCACCCCATGAGAACCCCCAGTCCGCCTTGTAACAGGTCTCCCCAGAACAGCATTAGAGAACACAGAAAGAAAATAATGAATCTTCTATTCTTAAAAGAACAGGACAGTCTGGAGGCTGCTTATACAGCAGTGTGATGATCTCCCATGGCCTTTTCTTTTTTATTGTAGCCCCGCAAACTCAAACTTCTCACCCTTTCTCCTGCCTCACACTGAGAGCCTGCAATTAGTCCACTCCACTTCCCAAGGACTGGCTGTATCCTTTCTTTCTCACCACTTAAAATCATGTCATGTTATGAACTTGACAATCATTACAGAGATACAAACTGCTGAACACAGATGACCAAGACCCTGAGGAAGTTACAAACTATTGAGAAATCTTACACACTGTTTATGGTTCTTCTTTTCCACAGCCATTCCAAGAAGTCTGCTGTCCTCTCACTGTTCTGATTATGGCAGTGGGTCACACATGGTTCTTAAATATAAGACTGACATGTTTTTAATCTAATCACCTTTCTTCTGCCTTTTGAAGGAGCAAGAGATTATTCCAAGATGGCTGCCTGACCTGCGTGTTGCCCTTGGCCATGAGATCTGCCCACTGACCTGACCTGGAGACAGTCCCATCATAATCGACGTTCCTTCTGACATAAACCAGTACTCCTGCCCTGCCTCCCACCACATGCTGGCGTCTGGAACAGGCCACCGTCTGGCCTGGTCACATAGAGCACTCACCTGTACCTGGGACTAGTCATGTACGAGTGCTGGAAACTATCTCTCCTTGTTCTGTATAATTCTTGGGCACCTTCTGAGTAGCACAGGGCCATTTTGTCTTGCAGCTGCTCAAAGATATGCCAACTATGTAAGTTTCCCTTAATAAATTCTACTAACTACCAGTTCAGTCCAGGGATCTTTCCCTGAATCTGCATATACTAAGCCTTCAAATAGTACTGCCATCTTCACCTTGTATAGATGTAGCTATTCTCAAGGGCAAAAGTCACAAAACAGTCCGTGTTATTATAGTTCCCCTCCCACCTCCAGCTCCATACTTACCACCTTATTTGATGAACATGATTGTTTTTGTGTTATTATTCAGGCCTTCGACAGCTAACATTAGCTACATTGTTTTCATTTGCTTCACCACAACTTCCCAGGATTCCATAAATTTTACCACTTTTGAACACTTTGTTTACAAAAATTTAAACTATATAAAAACACTTAAAAAAATAATTTTCAGTCTCAGCCCTGCATTCATCCACTCTTCCACACCCCCACCTCAGCCAACACTTTTTTAAAATACCTGAGGCTATGTTTTTACTGATTTTAGAGAAAAAGGGAGAGACAGGCAGACAGACACAGAGGAACATCAATATGAGAAAGAAACATCAATCGGTTGCCTCCCGTATGCACCCCAACTGGGGATTGAACCCACAACCTAGGCATGTGCCCTGACCAGAAACTGAACCCTCAGCCTTCTGGTGTATGGGGTGATGCTCCAGCCAATGGAGCCTCCTGGCCAGAGCCCAGGCAACCACTTTTATTAGCTCCCTGTGTATTCTCCCAGTGTTTCATTTTAAAAGACAAATTTATTGAGATAAATTCACATACCATACAACTTACCCATTTAAAGTGTACAGTTCAATTGTTTTTAGTATATTCAGAGTTGAACAATCATCACTACAATCAATTTTAGAACATTTTCATCACTCCTAAAAGAAACCCTGTGCCTGGTAACATTCACTTATTTCCCCCAGTTGTTCCCTTATAATCGTATGTCGGGAAGGTCCAGTGATGTCTCTTCTGTTCCTAACATTCGTATCTGGTTTCCTCTCTCGTTTTCCTTGGTCGATCTAGCTAAAGATTTGTCCATTTTGTTGAAGCTACTTTTGGTTTGTTTCATTAATTTTCTCTATTGTTTTCCAGTGTTTCTTTTAGCTAATACAAATCTACGTATTCTTATTTTTCCTTCTTCCATACATAATAGGAAGCTTACTATATACCTTGAACATTAGTGTATTCTGAAGGAAATACTTCAGGTGAAGGAAAATGATCTTAAATAGATGAGATATGAGAATAATGACCCACAAAAGGGGCAAATAACTAAATCTTAATAAACACTAATTAAAACAAGTATTGATGTCTTGTGAAACAGAAAAAGTAAGAATATACAACAACATACAAGTGAGGAAGGAGGTAAATGAGGTTAAGTGTATCATGCATGGGTGGGTGAAGGTATGTATATCTTCACTTCAGATTTTCATGTAATGAACGCGTACTGGATAAACTAATGCTTCCTCGGATTCCCTTGGTCATTTTCCTCTTTCCAAGGTGATGCCTGCCTCCCACTCCACACTGCTGCTGCCTTTGCCCAACTTTCTGAGCAGGCTGGAGTATGAACCAAAGTACACCAAGCCTACCTGATCTGAGTTTCCCCGCCGCAACACAGAAGTGAGTTGCCCCAACCTGGCAAATACTTGACGCTTTGCCCCTTACAACATAACAGGCCCTCGGAGACAAAGAAATATGGCCCAAATGAAAGAACAGATCAAAGCTCCAGAAAAAGAGCTAAGTGATGAGGAGACAGCCAACCTATCTGATAGAAAGTTCAAAACACTGGCAATCAGGATGCTCACAGAATTGACTGAGTTCAGTCACCAAATGAAAGAAGAAATGAAAGCTATATAAAGTGAAACAAAAGAAAATATAAGGGAACCAACCATGAAGGGAAGGAAATTGGGACTCAGGTTCTACTTTCTAGAGGACCCAAGTTAAGAAATTTATGTGGACTGTAATTTCTAGGGTCACCACTAAAAGAATAAAAATAGAGTATATAATTTTCCAAGCTGGTTGAGGAAAAACCTAGAATGGTAGAAAAGAATCATTCAAAAAAAGGCAAGAAAGAAAAGAAAAATAAAGATGGAATAGTTGAAACAAGTAACATAAAGTGAGACATTAGATTTAAACCCAAATACGTCAGCAGATACATGTAATATAAATGGACTAAATGTTTTAGTAAAAAGATAGGCCAAATTAAAAAGAATATGAAGTAAAATGTATAGACGTAAAAGTATTTAAAATAAATCTAATTTTCATAATGAATTTTAAACATTAAAGTTTTCTAACTAATCAAACAGCAAACTCAGAAAGGCATATTATTCAGAAATATTTCTAAGGCTAAACAGTTTCCTGCCCTATTGTAGTATATTGTGCAATTCGAAAAGGAAGTTTAAAGGCCAGAACTAACAATCTTAGATCACCATCTTTATTTCTGTCATCTTAAACCAGGATTTTCTTTACAATTGTGAAAAAGAAAATTCCTCCTTGAGCCTAATTAAAATATTCACCTTAACCTTATTAATTATGCAAATGAAACCTAAAACTGTAGAAAGAGATGAAGTAGCCAAAATAAGGCCCTGAATATTCCTTTCACACACAGTGAGGGTGTGTGTCTAATACATCTCCAGTAACTTTTCAACAGGTGGCCACTCGTGACCTTTCTTCTGAGTCAGGTTTGGGAAGACAGAATACTCTGCTCATGTTAAAGGCGTCTCCTGGAAGCCACCGACACCTCTGCTGACAGAGTGAAAGGAAGAAGGCAGCGGTTACCTAATTACCTAGAGCTGAAACCTGTTTCCACAGAAAGAATCATTTAGGTATGACTCTTGGGAGAAAGATCTGTCGCTTTGGTCACATTACATTTTTTGTGTGTGCATGTGAGTGCGCACACTGCTAAAAATGCACATTCCTGGGCTCCATCCAAGATTTATTGGACAGACTGTCCGGGGTGGAATTTACACTGTCTTTATTGATAACATACTTCACTAATAATTATTATTTCTAAAATCATGAATATCATAGTGAAACTCAATCTAGAATGATTGACCTTAGATTTAAAATAAACATACTTTTGCTATGGAGACCTGATTCACTCTCACCAGAGTGGACCCTGAAAAGAGCTCTGCCTTTAATGGTGTATCTACATTCAGCCTGAAACAGACCTCATCATACCTTCTCACCTAAGTTCTTCTGATGACCTGGAGTGGGAAAGGTAAAGAGGATTAAGTTAAATAGTCCCTGGGCATGAAGCTGAGTGAGGCCGACAGGGATAGACACCACAACTTCCTTTAGCTTAAACTATATGGTAAATCAGTCTCATACCAAACAACCAAAATGGTGGGATTAGATACACTCCACTAAGTTAAAGTTTACCAATGACTACAGAAGCTTTAAAGTAACAAGTTTAGCATGTGAGAGTGAAAAGGTTAACAAGACCCTTTCCTTCGCCACATGTGAATCACCTTCGGTTAAGCTTTCTAGCTCTATTCTGTGGTAATGGATAAAGATAGAAATGTCAACTACAATTTTGGGCGACTTTGCTTCTGGTCAAAATGACTCCTGATGACTAAATTGTAACTGGACTGGATGCAATACTAATAATCTGATAAGAACCTCATGCCCCAGGCTTTCCTGAGTGTGGTGACTCTTGAGAGCAACATGTCCCTTACAGGGGACATGGAAGTTGTGCTTATGGAGCTGTCAGAAGAGATCTTGGCTCCTTGTGGCCAGAGGAGGAGGGGCCCATCGCCGTGCACGTGCTGGCTGCACTGCTACCAGGCCTCCCACTGCTGCGGAGCTGCCTGACGGAGCTGCCTGACGGCGCCCTCCCGGCAGCCTGCTGCTCCTGTTTAACATCCCTTGGGGTGAACTGCCATGCATGGCCATGGTCGTCTTGTGAGTTTGCATGTCTAAGCCTAAAAAGATCCCTGTCAGTCATAACCACAAATAACTTCAAACACATTAATTATATAATTATATTCTGATTGTTTAGTTGAGTTAAAAAAGATCCTTTGTGTGAGTACGACAGTGTATAATTTCAAATGCATTAGTTTCATAAGTATTGATTAATTTTCATCCTACATTAAATTTACACTTACACTACATTTTCTTTTTACACTAAAAATGAATTAAAATGAGTAAGTCATTGAAATTCTGTATTTAATTATCAAACAATGAAATTATCACATCAATTTAATCATTATAACTAACTTAAATACAATAATGTAAAATGACTTTGAAAACGTTCTAATTCAAAATGAGAGAAAACAAAATTAACTAAAAGAAGTACTGTTGAATTCTAGGTATTTCTGTGATGACACAAATTTTAAAATTTAATAAAATATTACAGTTTTTTGGCAAAAAGGTTCTTAATTAGATTTTCCTTTTGAACTGCTTTTCATGTTTTAATGGGAGCTTCTTCTAAAGAATCATTTTATTTACAGTTGCACATTTCTTTGTAACACATTCAACATGTGCCATGTGCTGGAATCAAATACCTGAAGGAGCTGGCGTATTATGAATACAGCCAGGACAACAGTGGAGAGAGTCATGAACAAAAACATCACAGTCCACACAGAAAACATTTTGGCACGCAGTGCAAACATAGACCTGCAGTGAAAAGAAGAAAAGTAAACTTCAACGGCAGTTTCCAAAAGTTAAGCAGAGCACAGCTAGAAGACACTCAAGTTGCTTTACTCTTTCCGTTTTCTTATATCAATTTTCCCCACTTGCTTTATTACTTCCAATGTACTATATATTTTCAAATCTAAGGCAATTTTATTTCCAAAAAAATATTCCCTAGAAATGAGGAAATAACTTTGATTTTGAGTCCTTAAAGTCTCTTCTCTTACAGTATACTTTCAATTGTGTCATTTTAAGTAATTGGCAAAGACACATGAGCTTGAAATTAGTGCTAGTTTTGAATGCTTAAAAGGTCATCTGACTGGTTGAATTAAAAACAGAAGTACAACAATGTAACACACATTTAGTTATTCTTAGGGAATAAATGACCTCACAGCAACAAAACTTGTATTATATTTTTAATTAAACCAGTCAAGAATATGGCATGCCCTGCTTGGTGTGGCTCAGAGGATTCAGGGCCAGCCTGTGAACTACAGAGTCTGTCAGTTCAATTCCCAGTCAGGGCACATGCCTGGGTTGCAGGCCAAGTCCCCAGTAGGGAGCAAGCGAAAGGCAACCACACACTGATGTTTCTCTCCCTTTCTTTCTCCCCCCAGCCCTAAAAATAAATAAATAAAAATCTTTTAAAAGAAGAATATAGCAAAAGACATGTACATATAAGACAAATTTTTAAAAATCATATTATTCTAGTAGAATTAATTACTATATTAGTATTAATTAGTATATAGTAATTAATTAGTATATAGATACTAATGCTGGGGTAAAATTTCCAGAGCAGCAACATACATAGATTCAAAAATCATGAAATCTTAAAAAGCACAGAAGTAAAGATGACATAGAAGTAAAAATGAGGGAATAGCCTCTATTCTGTGGCCGCCTAAAATGGTACCTTCCCTTCAAAATGGGTTACAACAAAGCCTAAAGCACAGTAATGAAAAAAAAACATCTAACACTTTAAAACTAAATGCAGTTATAGCTTGTGAACTGAAGACAGTTTAAAGTACTAAAATGTCTCTGTAGCAAAATTAGAATGCAGAACTACAAAACAACTGTTTAAACTATTGTGCAACCATTTTACCTCTGCCTACTGTTATACTTCTGAGGAACAACCTGATATGAGTCTAGTCTTCAATAATTTACTGAAAACTTATACTACTATTTTGTCGATATTTCTCATACAATATTTAATATTTAGAAGGAACAAGAACTTACATGTTGGTCTTTCAATTCCCCCTGACATCCATAGCAAAATCTGAAAAAGTTTAAGAATCATTTTGGTTAGAATTTATTCATTAAAATAGCACAGCAAAATCTCAGTCACAAAATCCTTTAATTAATAAGTAATTTTACTTACAGTTGATTTACACGTGACTTTTAGGAGAAAGATAATTAGGATACCGGTAATTTAAGAAAAGTCCACAGTAAATCTTGAATTACCTTAATAGCCCAAAATCTTACTTTAAGAAAAATGTACTTTTCTTAAAGAAGGAAGTTGGTCCTCATGATTTCAGCCCATGCATTATACAGGAAACAATAATAAGTGTGTAGAGTTCATGTTTTTCTACAGGACACTTAAAAACTGCTGCACTATGTTATGCACAAAACTGGTTTATGCCACATGAACAGAATCACAAGTTTGGTTTTAGTCCTTTTGTTCCTCTTTTGTATTCAGTTGTATTGTACTTCTAAAATCAAAATGAGTAGAAAAGCTGTTTTGTGTCTAATAATCTAAGTAACAAATGCTGTATTTTAAAAATGGCAAAAAAATTTTTTTTAATTTCATCAAGATTAAACAGGAACATGCTCTCCCAACTGGAATTATATAAGGGAATTAAACCCTACAGAAAATGATCTGAGTGACTATCTTTCGCCTCTCCCAAAGATAACAGACAGCTGGTACAAGTCTAGATGGACTGGAGAGGAATTAATTTATTGCATATAATAGATGCCTACAGGCTTTAACATTCAAGAAATGGAGTCAAAAGTTCTCAAAAAAATTATTACAAAAAATAACAGTTCCCTGACTACCCACTCCCACACTTCACTTCCTGTTCCCCAGAGCAAACATTTTCAAAACTAAATTGTCTGATAGTAACCTATACTTATGTGCTCTCTCTCCATTTTTTCAAGTGCAGTAGCTATGAACCTCTTACTACAGAAGATGAGAATTTAATTCTCTTTCAACTCTCTTGGATCAATAGCATGTACATGCAGAACTAATGTCATTCTCAATTCTATGTTAAATAATTTTAGATAGAATAATATTAAATGTTTAGTTCATTTTAACTATATAAACATATTCAGCTGAGACATATAATACAACTTTTCTTCTCTTTTAAAACATTTTTTCCTAGAGTTAATTATTATAGTTATTCACAAGCTTAGTTTTCTAAGGAATTACCATTAACTCAGCTCCAACCTTTCTCTACAAAGCCTAAACATCCTCTTACATGTTCAACTAGATCAGGAGTTATGTAGTTTTTGTCTTCCTGGTGACCTCTCTCCTGAAGCATTCTACCCTTCTCCAAACTGGACGGACAGTTTTTCACATGCAACACACAAGCATCATTCTGGGGTTTCCCCTTATCACCCTCCCAGGCCTTTCTTTAGGCAGTTTGAATTAGATAGATATTTCTACTCTCCTTCATCCATTCTTTCTCAGTTCCTTTGAAACATCTTTTCCACAGCTTCCTCCGAAAGTCTCTTTTTGAGACAAGTCTGAAAATGTCTTTATTCTACCTACATTTAATTGGTGTGTTGGTTGGATATATAACCTAGGTTGGTAATAGTTTTTCATTCCAATTTTGAGAAAAATCACTCCTTGTCAACATTCCTGTTACTGATGATAATCCAAACAATCTTAATTCCAGATTAAGTGACCTAATTTTTCCTCTCCAGAGATGTTTAGGATTAGTATTTTGCTGCATATTCTGAAATTTCACAATGATATACTTTAGTGTGAATCTGCTTTCCTTCAATAAGTCAGACACCTGACAGTCCCTCTCAATCCTTTAATAATAGAAAATGCCCTTGAACTATTTCTCTTCTATTCTTCATCTTTTCTTTATTCTTTTATTATTCTAATATTAGGCCTTTTGGATAAATCCTCCAGTTTTAGCAAGTGCTAAAAAGCAGGGGTTTTGGGTTTTATTCTCATTTTGGAGAGCTGATTTATCATATACCACCACTCTCTCTATAATATATACATATGTACGTTTAGGGAAATCACTGTATTTTGCCATGTATAATGTGCTCCTGTGTGTAATGTGCACTCACGTTTTTGGCCCAAACTTTCAGGAGAAAAAAACCTTTCGTTTTAATTTTTTAATTCATTTATTTATTTATATTTAGATACTTGTTTTTCATATTATAAAAAAATTTTAGCATTTATTTTTTAGCATGTTATGTTACAAGAAATTTTATGTAACAAATAACTACAAAACACAAGAACAGATACAAGGCATTTCAGGTACTACCCATATATAATGTACATCATTTTTTCCTCAAAAATTTGGGCAAGAAAGTGTGTAATATACATGGCAAAATGTGATAATAGATTTCTGGAAATCCAGATCTATTTAATAAGTCATTTCAGTCATAACCAAGGCATTATACACCTCATTTTCTATATTAGAAGTAATTTTGTCCAAGTTACTGTAACTTTTTAAATGCAGTAACAATGTATTGAAACACTACCACTTATAACATGTAAATTAACCAAAAGCATATACCTTTCTCCATTATGTTCTTCTAGGGGAATTTCTTGAAAAGCATCCAAGGGAAATAAATGATGGTAAGACCGTGCCAAATGGGGAGCAGACACCAAAGTCAGACCTGACACAGAAAGCAGAGACATATTTAACAGCCCAAACCTCACAGAAACAATAGCTGAAATGTCAAATGATATAACTTATACTAAATACTTCTAAGGGTTTTTTTTTTAATTGCAGCTATTCATTTCTTCAGTTTGCTTGTGGCCATAGAAGGAAATTCCAACATGGATAAAGTCTTACTTGTCACTAAGCGTATGACCTCTCTTTGCCTATTTAGTCACTAATAAAATAAAGTTTTCTAATTCTGTTAGTTTAATTCCTCATTCTTCTGATATACATTTACTTTATGAAGTTAAGAGCTGCAAAAATGTCTACCGAGTCTGCTGCATTTCCTTTAAAGAAAGAAATCAGGAAACTCCTAGGGAATACCAGGTATATTCCTGGAAATGGAGTATTGGGCACTCAATAAAAACAGTAATCTATTTCTCTTCTCACTTTAAACCCAGAAACATAGACAGGCAGAACTGAATATTTACATCTATTTTAATAACAATACAAGTAAGTTATGAAAGATTAGTTTACTAAAAAATAAACAGTTGGTTTCTTACCACAGATTTTACATTCAACAGGAAGCTCACAATACTTTGCCCGACACTGTGGGCAGAAATAGCCTCCTAATGTAAGTCCTGGCTCAGTATTGCTATCCAAATGCCTGTGGGGGGAAAGGGTACTCTAAAAACGTGGTATATAAAGATGTGAACAATTAGAGCAAAAGAAAGTATGCTACCTCGATTTTAAAATCATGGAGTTGTTTCATAGCTCACTTATGTTCATTTTAGTTGTTTTCAGTATATGCATTTTTGTTTCAAACAGTTTCCATTAATGTCTTTGAATTCATTAATCTTTCCTTCTTCAGTGACTTATCTGCTGTTAAATTTTTCATCTTACACAATGTATTATTCATCTCTAGGAATCTAACTTGGGTCTTTTTTCTGTCTTCTATCTCTCTCATCATGTTCATCTTGTTCTCCTCTACTTTCATGAACATATGGAGTTTATATATAATACCCATTTTAACCCTTTGTCTACCAGTTCTACCTATTGTGTTATTTCTGGATGTTTCCATTCTATGATTTTTTTCCCCCTTGTTATGGGTATTTTCTGACTTCTTTGCATACCTGGTAATTTTTTATTGGCTGCCAGACATTGTGAATTTTGCTTTGGGATAGTGGACTTTTTTGTATTCACTTAAATATTTTGAGGTTTTTTTCTGGAATATACTTAAGTAACTTGGCAATAGTTGGATCTGTTCAAGACTTGCTTTTAAGCTTGTTAGGCTGCCCAGAGCAGCTGTTGGTCTACAGTTAATCTGGTTCCATCACTGGGCTCTATTCAATGCCTGTGTGTTAAGAGTTCTCTCCAAATTGACTGGTGGGAATGTAAACTATTCCTTGTCCCATGTGAGCTATAGGGATTGTTCAGCCTGCTCCTCTCCACTGGCTCTCTGCCTGGCCCTGACAGTTTGCTCACAGAAACATGCTGATCAGCACTCAGCTAATGACTCATGGGGAAGTGTCTGCAGATCTCAAGAGCTCTGTGTGTAGCTCTTTACTCTCCAGTACTCTGCCCTACAAAATAATAACCATTTCGGCCTCCCCAAACTCTGAACTTACTTTCTTCAACTGAGCAAAAACCTCCAGGCTCCATGTGGGTTTTCCTTCTCTGTACTGCTGCCTGGAAATTCTCGATAAGCAGTAAACTGCAATCATTGGACCCATCTCACTTATTTCCCTTCTTTCGGAGATTATTATCTGCACTGCCGGCTTCCAATCTCTGAAAACTGTTGCTTTATGTATTTTGTTTGGTTTTCTGACAGGAGGCAGAGGGTAAATCCAGTCCCTGTTATACTTTTATAGCTGGAGACATTAGTCTTATTGTAATGTTTAACAATCACTTTCTTTAATTTAATTTTGTTTTATAATTAGGTAAAATATAAAGCTCCAAAGTTAAGACAAGGTATATTCAGAAAACTCAGTGGTCTACTTCTTTGCCTTTCTTCACACACCGTGTAGGTAAACAATTTTTTAGTTTTCACTTTTGATTTCCATTACTATTTTTATTATTAATATATGCAAGTACACCTACTCAAAATTTCTACCTTCTTCTTAGTGACTGGTAGCATACTACACACTTTTCTCTACCTGTTTTACTTAGTAATATAACCTGGAGATGACTTCATAGGAGTATATAGAGATCGTCTTCACTCCTTTTTACAGCTATATAGAGGGTAATCTTTTACAAAAGCCATTATATTTCAAGCCCATCTTTTTAAATAGAAAAAACTGAAATATAAAAACGTCATCACTGAGAGTTTCCATGTTTTTACTTACGCCATGCTGAAAGAGGGCTTTGCATCTTGATCAGACAGAGAAGCAACTGTATGCTGAGGAAATCCTGCACAGAAGAAAATGCATTACTTTCTTTTTCCAAGCAAATCACAAAATCCTAGGGCTGGGACTCTAAAAATGTTTCTTCTTTCTCCTGCCTTTTAGATATGTTTATTGTGGCATGGTCAAACTGACTATTCCAGGGTACAAGAAAAAGAGTGGAGGAAATGGGGAAAGATCCGTCCAGAAATACAGCCTCAGAGTCTCAGTATTTTCTAACTTAATAACAATGAATACATACTGCTTTTGAAAGGGAAAATGTTAGTAATTTTCAAATAGTTCCTGGCACAACAGAAGAATCTATTACATAATTTACTTTAACTTTATATATGTCTATGCTTAAAATTTTGGAATGCCCAAAAACTTAGTTTGTTTTTCATATATATTTTCAAATTTGAATTCTAAGAAAAACAGAAACCATAAACAAAAAGAGATTTTATTATAAAAAATGTTAAATCTATCTATGTATCAAAATAAATAAAACATAAATAACCAACTGAATATTGTGTCAATATTTATGTCAGGTGACAAAAAATGGCTGATATTCTTAAATGTCTCTAACAAATCAATTTGAAGAATAAAATATTATAAGATTAAATAATAACTTTAAAATGGACCAATGAAGCGTATCAATAAATCAAAAAAGGTTAGCCAACATAATATCTAAAATCTACTGAGTTTTTATGTCAAGCATTATTCTAAATGTATTAACTCAATCCCGGCAACACACAAGACAAATACTAATCTCATTTTACTGGTCAACTCTCGTTTTAGAGCAGTTGACCAGTATATAAATGGCCCAAAACAAGACAGAAAGGGGGGGTAATGGTGGGGACGGGGAGGTAGGATGGAGGGAAATGAAGGGGGGGAATAGAACAACTGTGATGGCATAATCAATAAAATAAATAAATTAAATAAATAAATAAAAAAGACAGAAAAGTACTCCCTTTCACTGACAGTTAAAAAAATGCATATTAAACAAGGAGATTCTTTTTAAACTTATGTTTCTTTCAATTATAAATGTAATAAATGTTCATTATAAAATTTCTGGAAAACAACATTTTTTAAAGACTTTATTTATTTATCTTTAGAGGGAAAGGGAAGGAGAAAGAAATAGCAATGTATGGTTGCCTCTTGTGCATCCCCCGCTGGGAACTGACCTGCAACCCAGGCACGTGCCCTGACTGGGAATCGAACAGCAATTCTTTGGTTCGCAGGCCCACACTCAATCCACTGAGCTATACCAGCCAGGGCCAACAACATTTTTTTTGAAATGATGCAAAAGCCATCATTCTCCCTCCTCCAAAAAAAATCACATTAAACAATTTGCTATACCTTCCCGCAACCTTCTGTCCTTGTAGTTTGTATTACATAGCTTTGATCAAACAGTACAGAGAATTTTGCAGCTTATTTGTTAAATTTCCTAATACGACAAGGATATTTCTATAAATGCAGTGTCTCTATACCTTTCATGTCTTAATAATAAAAGGAAGCCAATAGTGTTCTCTGAGTGATAGGACTACAAATGGTTTTAATTTTCTTTTACATCTCTGTAATTTTCTAAAATTGCTTCAACAGCACAATTTTCTCTTATTATAAAACATGTAAGTTTTAGAAAAATCTTAAATGTTGCCCTGGCTGAGTGGCTCAGCTGGTGGGAGCACTGTCCTTTACACTGAAAGGCTGTGGGTTTGATTCCCGGTCAGAACACATGCATAGGTTGTGGGTTCAATCCCCAGTCAAGGCGTGTATGGCAGGCAACTGACTGATGCCTGTCTCTCACATCTATGTTTCCCTCTCTCTCTTCCCTCTCTCTCTAAAATCAATAAAATATGTCCTTGGGTCAGGATTTTTAAAAAATCTTAAATGTTAAAATAACTTGTGCAAATGAAAATAGAAGGTCTAGTCTGGGCCAAAATATATCTTTTTAAATGTTTACTTTTAAATCACACAAAATAAACACTTACCCATTCGAATAAGTGAGCATTCAGAACTTGAGCTAGCAGGAGGAGGACTAACGTGATGCATTAGCAATTCTTTGTAGTGGCTTTCATCTAAAATAACATGGTACGTACCTAACAAGATGAAAAGCAAAAGAAAATAAAATGAGCTTCCCAGACATAAGAATGAATTAAATAATTTCTAAGTAATTCTGTAAAAATTTTACTACCTGATAAAATACATCTTCATACTAAGTATTTAAATTAAATTATAATTTTTCAAAAATCTTATTTAAATAACATCTTTAAATTGACTTCTCTAGGAATAACTATGATTATAATTTTATTAAAGTCAAGTTAAAAGATCTTAACAAAGTATTACATTTAGTGAAATTTCTAGCTTTTCAAGAGTTATACTGCTTTTTCTGAACACTAACATAGCTTCTGAAAATTCCCTGCATTTTGATATGATATCAACAGAATCACTGATATAATTACGATGATTAGCCATATTTTAGATTTCAGGACATGAACTGATTTAAGCTGAGTAGTTTAAAAACAGATTAAAACATCCTACTTTAATGAACAAATTGTTACTTCTTACATAATAATTGTGAGTAAATATTAAAGAACTCCAGATAAATACCACCAGTTTCACGAGCAAGCACAGTGCAAACCCGAACCTCTGCAGACAATCCAATAATAGACACTCTAATTTTAGTTGCCTTCAGGGTCTTCATAGAATCCAAGTAAATGGACGGTTTTGAGGGGGAAAAAGCATTGAACAATTAATGTTTTTGAAAAATGAATAGAATGCTCTGAAAACTAGTAATCAATTTACTACAAAATTGTCTTTGAAGTTGTAACTTTGAAGTTGTTAAAATTAATGGCCTACCTTAATTAGGTCATAGATATTAGATGGATCGCAAGTTGTGAGGCTGCTAAAGATGATTAGGACTTCTCTACTTGTGTGTCCAGGCATGTGTCTGAAGAAAGATAAAATGCACTCCAATTAGGTATAAAAATCACACTAATGAAAAGTTTACCAAAAAGGATAGTGTACATGGTTTACACATTTAGACTCTTGACTATCTCACCTGTGGAAATCTCTTTTAAATTCTAGGGACAGAGTGATAAACAAGACTGACTAAAAGTCCTAACGTCATGAAGCTTTCATTCTAGTAGATATGTTTCATACAAAATCTAAAAGGTACATTAGAAAGTATAACATACCATATGGATCAACTTTAAGATATATACATGTGGCGTAACAACAGTAATGTACTTCTTTCTTATTTAAAGTCTATAATTTAACCTCATGGTGATTCAGAGTCATAATAATAATAAACATTTATTTTTGTGTACCATTTAATTAAATGATGGCCTATTGGATTTTAAGATGTGATAAGCAGTTATCCCCTATATTAACTGGAGATTTCTACACTTTTAGAAGCAAATTTTATCAGTTATTTATTTATAGCCTTCTTGCTTATATATTCATTGGTAGGCTCTCAGCTTTCACTTGTGGATGCTGCTATTGTGCCTACTTTTTTTTTAAATTTTATTTATTTATCTTTAGAGGGGAAGGGAAGGAGTGAGGGAGAGAAACATCAATGTATGGTTGCCTTTCATGTGTCCCCTGCTGGGAACTGGCCTGCAGGGAACCAGCCTGCAACCCAGGCATGTGCCCTGACTGGGAATCGAACCGAGACTGCCTGGTTCACAGGCCCGCGCTCAATCCACTGAGCTACACCAGCCAGGGCCATTGTGGCTACTTTTATTATGTGTCTTACCTACTTATCATCTACTTCTAAAGTAGAAAAATATCTATTATGTGAAAGTATAAAAATCTGAGTCAGGATAGACTAGCCAAGGATAAAATATATAAGCTTTAACTATATTGGATACTTCCTGTCAGGTCTAAGTTATACTGCACATAGTTGAACTTGTTGGAAAAGAATGCTATTAATTTACAGATTACAAAACAAGCTAATAAAAGTCAATAAATGTACAACAAACTCAAAATTACTACACACAATGAATTCCGTATACAATCAGTTGTCAATAAATTATTTTTCATCAATGTATTTATTTTGTTCTACTAATATTACCACAATATTATGTTTTTCTAAAACTGTTAAGAATATACCTTACCAATTAAAACATAAAATAAAAATTACTAACAATAAACATCATAAATGGCATTATGTATTTGTTTCAATAATGACTTCATTATAGCTGGGTTTCTAGAGACACATATTAACATACTATCATTTCAACTTAACTCATTCCAAAATGTTTGAAATCAATTGTATATAATAAATGTAAAACACTAACTTTAAAGTTTGCATAGCCAGGTTTAAAGAGTTATAAAGAGATGGCTCTCCATGGCAGGTCATATCTACAGCTTTCTTCAAAGATGTTATGTGTTTTCTAGGGTTTCCTAAAATAGAAATGAAATAATTTACTTTTATTTATTTATTTATCTTTAATTTTATTTATTTTTTCATTTTTAAATTTTTTAAATTACAGTTAACATTCAATATTATTTTGTATTACTTTCAGGTATACAGCATAGTAGTTTTACAACATATACTTTACAAAGTGTTTCCCCCATTAATTTACTTTTAATAAAACTCTCTCTATATATAGTGGAAATTTATGTCTCTCCAAATATTTATGTTAAAGCACAGAATTCTTTCAATTTATGTTTTTAGCAACTTGCACTTTTGACAGAGATATTTGTTATATAATGTTTCACTTCATACTTAAAAAAATAATACAGCAAGTCCTGACTTAACATTGTGATAGGTTCTGGAACTTCAAGCGAAACAATGTAAAATGAGACCAATTTTACCAGAGACTGATATAAACAGGAGTTAAGTTCCTACAGCATCTCATCAATGTTATAATGAAATGATGCTGAACTTGATGTTACTCAAGGACCTGCTTTACAAATAATCTCTTTTTATCTATTAATACACATTTTAAATAATTTTAACCTGGAGTGCATAACTTTTTACTTTTAATGTTTCCCTATTTCACCATTTTTAAGACTGATGTATACGTCCCCATTTTAACCTCTCTGAAACCACGGCGTGTCTTACCATCACTGGCAGCCTCATGGCAATGACACAGCTGTCACTGCCTGCTCCCATGGGAACTTATGAATGGCTATGGAGGTGCTTTTGTTCCAGCTGCATTATGGACATTGTTTGTGCTTTTCATGTTAAGTTTAACTGTGCTTTAAAGTGTTTTTAGAAAGGTTATTAATACAAAAGTTTAAATCTTTATGTAGAAAGACACAAAACAGAGCAATTAGGTATAAATTTGTTATAAGCGAAGCAAAAATTCACAAAGAGAAAAATGCCTGCAATTCTAAATTTTTCTTCAGTGAAAAACCCAAGAGCTTTATAGAACCTAAGAAAGGAGGGTTTCCACGAATAAACAAAGCTGTGTTATCGTCTATTATGGAAATAATATCTCAAAAGGTTAACATCTGAAAAGATTCTCTATCTCAAGTTAAGCAATACAAATGAAGAGAGGAGAAAATGCCAAATTCTTTAGAATAGTTGACGAACACACTGACTCACCAAGAAGCTGGTGTGAACAAGTCACATACCATGTTTCCTTCTTGATGGCTCATAAATTAAGGGTATCTCATAAAAGAGAATCTGAGAGTCAATGAAATATGGTATTCCTCAGCCCCTGCTGGGTAGCTCAGTTGGTTAGAGCATTGTCTTGATACACCACAGTTGTAGGTTCAATTCCCAGTTAGAACACATATAACAATCAACCAAGAAATGCATAAATAAGTGGAACAACAAATCCTGTTTCTCTCTTTCAAATCAATTTTTAAAAAATTATATTCTTTAAATATTTTTTCTATTTCAACACTGTCTCCATATTGCTATAATTAACAATAATCAAAACATCATTAAATTGATTATATTGTATAGTACAATTCATCAACCTACTTACCTACTGTTGACCATTTAAGTTATTTCCAGGAGGGAAAAGTTTTCAGGAACTACTATAAAGGATGCATGGACAAAACCAAGGCGGGGGGTAGAAGCAAGGGAGGGATGTGGGTTTGGCTGGAGTTGGGGGGAGAGGTGGAGGGAAAATGCAGACAACTGTAATTGAACAATAAAATAATTTTTTTTAAAATTATTTCTAGCCCTGGCTGGTGTAGCTCAGTGGATTGAGTGTAGGTCTGTGAACCAAAGGATTGCAGTTTGATACCCAGTCAGGGCGCATGCCAAGGTTGCAGACCAGTTCCCAGCAGGAGATCCACGAGAGGCAAACACACATTGATATTTCTCTCCCTCTCTCCTTCCCTTGCCCTCTAAAGATAAATAAATAAATAAATAATCTTTAAAAAATTATTTCCAATTTGCCACTATTACATGTACTGTTAAAAAAAAGAATATATTGGGGGGAGGGGTAAATGCAGACAACTGTAATTGAACAATAAAATAATTTTAAAAAAATTTTTAAAGAGTATATTTGTTGAGTTAGGTTTTTCTTCTTTCATAACATTTCCTAAGTATAATTCATAGGAACAACCGTCTTTCTGGCTCCCCCCGACCAAACTTTCAGCCAATTAACCGGGCTGTCAACACTGTAGGCACTGGTTGTCCATGGTTCAGTAAGCACCATATTCCTTTTGAAGCTTTACTTTGCTAATTTAAAATATATGAAACAAATAAAATGTTGTTGAGTGGTTTGTTTTTGATCACTTGTTTAGCTAGCCTCTCTTTAGCTTAGTTTTTTTCTTTATGCTGGTATGATTTATGTCTTCTTTGGCCATTTATCTACTTGTACCTTCTTGGTGTTATGTATCTGAATGAATTTTAGGTTATGTGCTGCTGAAGTGAGCACAGAGTAAGTTGGGTTTTTTTTAAAAGACTTAATAGATTTCGTTTTTTTAAAGAAGTTTCAGGTTCACAGCAAAACTGAGCATAAAGTACAAAGAGTTCTCATGTACTCTCTGCCCCCACAACACACAGTCTCCCCCACTATCAATTATCAAAAATGTTAGTTACAACTGATGAACCTGCACTGATACATCATTATCACCCGAAGTCCATAGTTCACAGAAGGACTCACCTTTGGCCTCACCTTATTAGATTTGTACCTTCAATGAAGAGAATTAAGTTTTAAAAGGTTAACCATTTGCCATATTTAATATATATTCCAAGTATTTATTTTGGAATCATAAAATTTTAGAAATAAAAAGTATCTCGCTAAGTCCAAATTCCTCATTTCATCAGTGAGAAGCAAATCTAATAAGGTAAATGATCTGCCCAAAGACACGCACCTACCCAACGGCAGGGCCAGCACTCAAACCTCCATCTCCTGGCTCTCTCTACCCACTTCTCTTTCTAGCAAAAGACACAAATATTTCTTTCATCTCCCATTGTATTGTATGAGAAATAAAACATACTACACTACCATCAGTGAGGTTTAGAGCAGTGACTCTGATCAGGGGTGGAGGGGTGCCTTCCAGAGTTCTATCACAATCTCTAGAGAATTTTTCATCTCTATGTGTATGACTTCCTTGGCACACATGGAAAACTATTCTTAATCTAGGGGAAGAGGCAGGAGGGATGCCCTCCATCCCCTCCTTGGGAGAACCACCCTTTCTCCACTGTATAATAATCCAGCCTAGACCATGTGATTCTGATGAAGCCCACCCTGCTTTCACCGTGCTCTAGGCACAGACATGTAACCGAGGCCTACCAACCAAATACTTCATTCCCTTGGCCATGCTGACTGTTCGTGGGTAGGTAGGCAATAATAAGTAGGGTCAATAAGAGACCTCTCTGGGACTCGTGCTAAAGCTACAGACTACAAAAGTCATGTGGACTTGGAGTATTAATAGACATCTTTTCCACTCACAGAAAACCTATCAGAGAATGAAGCCAGACAGAGGTAGGACCCCTGGAAATAACTATATATGAAATCAGCCTAGCTTAGAACATGAGTAAATAATTTCCCTTTTGTGCCTAAGCTAGTTTGAAATTTTGCTGATTACTTGCCGCTAAGTTTGCTGAATCACTCCAGGCTAACATACATTTCATTCCTCACTACCACAATGAAAAACTATTAATGATAAAAGTATGTCATTATCTTCATTTGTATTAGTGAGGAAGAACGGTTGAGAATGAATGACATTTAAGAAAAAGTATTTCACAGAAAATAAAATAGAACTAGTGATGTAAATTTGTAATAACACGTAACAAAACAAATAAAACCTGCCATCATCAATTAAAAGACTAAAATTCAGTTAGACATGCCATGAAAACAAAGAAACTCAATCATTAACAATTTTTTAAAAATTTAGTTTATTGACAAGAGAGAGAGGGCAACATCAATTTATTGTTCCACTTATTTATGCATTCTTTGGTTGATTCTTGTGTGTGCCCTGACCAGGGATGGAATCCACAACCTTGGCGTATCAGGAGGATGTTCTAACTGAGCTACCTGGCCAGGACTACCATTAACTTTTTATATTCTTTGCTCTTTAAATTAGAGATTTAATTTGTAAAAAAAAAAAACCCTGATTTTAAAATGAAGTGGATTTTCTGAATGGTTACAATAATTTTACTACTTTTGAGATGAATGTATATATTTTAAATAAAGATATTTACTTTCATTGAAATACTATTTACCACTATGTAGAACTCAATTTAAAACACTTCATCTCAGATTCCGAGTTCAATAGAAAGTTTACTAGAGAACATACAGGAAGGCCTAATTTTACTTATGAGGCAAACTTATGAACAGGGTTACAAGGCTGGGCAAATCCCTTGAGTCCTATAAAGGTAACTGATGCATACCTGAGAGTTCTGTCAGTTTTTCGGCCCTTTTACTTTTTGTCACAATAATTCCAATCTAAAAATAAAATAAAATAATGATTATTAATTAAAAAATGATTTCTTCTTGATAAGAATTTACATTAATATAAATTAGTAATTATGAAAGAAATAGGTAACATCTGAGAAACTTTTTCTCATGATGCTGTTGACATAAATTCAGCTGAGTTCAATGTACATAATTTAACTTCTAGAGTTACTTGCTTTTCATTGACAAGTGTACCAAAAACTGGTACATAATCTGAATCACTTAGTTCATAGAACAGATGCCCAATGTTTTAAAAATAAATTATATTTGGCAGTAATCTCAGGAATCTAATCTTGAATTTCATTCCTTATACATACCTGACTAATAGGATTTTGATCGAAATACTCCTCTACAAAGTACTCCAACAACTGTTCAAATACAACAAAAAGGAAATACTAGGTAAGAGCAAAATAACAACTACAGAGGAACATATTTTAAGAAAGTTATTTACCAAGCATGATTTTTAAGTTTATAGATTTTCAAAAAATGTTCAGTAGTAAAAATATTAAACAAATAATGATAGAATTTTAAATATGAAATAAATAAAAATTAAAATATTACACCTGAATCTGAAATGGTAAGTGACATGACAGGTTTAAGCTAGGCCTTAAAAGATGGAACCCTGGATATGTGAGACAGAAGCCATCTAAACGAGGAAGAGATCCAATGAAGACAGAAAAGGAGAAGGAGAATTGGGGATGGGTTTTTATAAGTCAGGAATAATCTGAATGTATTTATAAACTGAGAAGACTGACTCAAGTAACTGAAAAGAGGAAAAAGATTCAGTGAAGAAAAGGAAGAACAAAACAAGATCCTGACTTAGGGTAGGAGGGTAGAAATTAAGGGCATAACATAGTCGTCCCCCTCCGTATCTTTGGGGGATACATTCCAAGACCCCCACAGATGCTTGAAGCTGCAATAGTTCCTTTCTGTACATACATACCTATAAAAGGATGTAATTTATAAGTTAGGCACATAAGAAAATAACAAAAATAACAATAAAATAGAGCAATTATAATAATATAATGTAATAAAAGTTATGTGAATGTGCCTTATCTCTCTCCAAACATCTTACTGTACCGCACACACAGAGTGGGTGCACTGGACAAAGGGATGGATTTGTGTTGGTGTGGGACGAGGAGAGAGCAAAACACTGTAAGACATCATCATGCTGCTTGAAATGACATGCAATTTAAAACTGATGAACCGCTTATCTCTTGTGTGTTCTATCTAATATCTTCAGACCATAGTTGACCAGGGGTAACTGAGTCTGAAGATAAGGGACTACTGTAATTTGCTATTTTTGTGTATTATTACCTTAAATGGTCTGGTAGCACTTCTACTTAGCTATAGTTTATATTAACTCAAACTTTAAAAAAAAAGACTAGATCCTTTTAAAAATGTTCTTTTACCTTTAAACTACACGTCAGTCTATTTGGCTTTAAATCTTGGTCTTCCATTGTTCTCGATCCATCTACTACCACATAAAGATGGCGCATCTACAAAAAAGAAATACAAAGGAGGACAATTTTCAAACATATTTTTGACCAAGAAGTAAAAATAGCATTTGGTATTCAAATAGTCTATACATATATTTTTAATATATTATTTAAAAAGGTTTGTTTCACTATTGTTTATTCTATTAAGCCAGAATGCTTCTTGACCCCAAAATAGTTCTGTACCAGTAAAGGAAAAAAAATAACATACCATTCCAAGTCGAACTTGTCCATGGTGCTCAAATACTCTGTTAAAATTATGCAAACATTTTAATGAACTACCATATACTACCCACCCAAAAAATCATTATACTTGCTATCTTTTTTGTGAAGCAAATTATTAACTTAAGGAATCCACATTATTAAATTCACTTTAGTTAGTCCCTGAAGACCCATTTCCCTGCTGAGGCACTAGGTTGCTGGTTCCTTCCTTATATTCAGGTTACAAGTCAGTTTTCTTGAAACACTGCTTAAGTTAAGTACTGAGGAGTTGGTCAGAAAGGCTTAAAGGAATATATTTTACCTTTTGTAACACAGTCACAAAAAGTTCACATACCTTTTTCTCTTTGCTTTGAAGAGAATGTCTTCGATTGTAGCTTTAAGTGATCCTGATTCATCTTCTTTAAGAATCTCCCTATAAGCAGTAACTACTTATTTAAAAAGATAAGCTAAATATTTATCAACCCAAGAGAAATGAAAACATATGTCCACATAAACATTTGCATGTAAATGTTCACTGGTGCATTATTCTTTTTTCTTTTTTAAAAATTTTATTTATTTATTTGTAGAGAGGGCAAGGGAAGTAGAGAGAGAAACATCAATGTGTGGTTGCCTGGCAAGCGCCCCCTACTGGGGACATGGCCCCCAACCTGGGTATATGCCCTGACTGGAAATCAAACCGGTGACTCTTTGGTTCGCAGGCCAGCATTCAATCTACTGAGCCATACCAGCCAGAGCCACTGATACATTATTCTTAACAGCCAAAAATTATAAACAATCTAAATGTCCATCAGCTGATGAATGGATGAATAATTATACGGTATAACCAATATAATAAAATACTATATTCACCAAAGAATGAATTACTGATATATGCTACATGAATGAAATTTAAAAATAGCATGTTTTTTAAAAATTATTTTAGAGAATAGGGAGAGAGAGAGAGAGACAGACAGACAAACATCAATTTGTTGTCCCACGTATTTATGCACTCATTGGTTGCTTCTTGTACATACACTGACCAGAGATCAAACCTGCAACCCTGGCATATCATGACAATGCTCTAACCAACTGAGCTACCTGCCAGGGTGAAAACAGCATGTTAAGTGAAAGAAGCCAGATACAACTGACCATATATGATATGATTCCATTTACATGAAATGTCCAGAAAGGACAAATCTATAGAGACAGAAAGTGGATTAGTGGTTGCCTAGGGCTAGACATTTAAACTGGGTTTATTGTAAGTGAGCATGAGGGATCTTACTGGGGTGGTCAAAATGTTCTCAGCCCTGGTGGGGTATCTTGGCTGCTTGGAGCATTGGCTCTACACACCACAGTTGTGGTTCCATCCCCTGTCAGGGCACATACGAGAAACAACTAATGACGTATTGACACAGAGATCAATGAACAAAACAGAGAACCCAGAAATGAAGCCACAACTTTATAGCCAATTAATATTTGACAGAGGAAGCAAGTACATACATGGGCTAAAAATAGTTTATTCAATAAATGGTATGGAAAACTGGACAGATGCATGCAGAAAAAATGAAACTAGACCACCTTCTTATGCCACACACAAGAATAAATTCAACATGAATTAAGAACTTAAATTTAGACCTGACACAATAAAAATCCTAGAAGAAAACACTGGCAGTAAAATCTGGGACACTGCTCAAAGCAATATTTTATCTGCTATATCTCCTCAGGCAAGGGAAGCAAAAGAAGAAACAACCAATGAATGCATAAATGGGTGGAGCAACAAATCAATGTTTCTCTGTCTCTGTCTCTCTCTCTCTCAAAATCAATTAAAAAATTTTTTTAGTGTTCAAAACTGATTTATGGTAATGAATGCCCAACTGAACAAATTTCTAAAAATCACTGAATTATATACACTGGAAGCAGGTGAATTTTAATATTTGTAAAATATACTTCGATAAAGTTGCAAAAAATGTCTGAAAGAGGAGAGATTGTAATAATGTTCTACTCACCATGTTCTTTCATATCCTCCTTCCCATCGCTTAGTTCTTTCAGGTTCTTCATCCATTTTTTTCTTAAATGTATTATATTATTCAATATCCTATAAGAATCATTAAATTATTAATCTCCTAAAGATTTCTGTCACCAAATGCCTACAATTAAATCTGAAAAGGAGGGGGAAGTAAACATACAAAGTAAAAAAAAGTCAGAATGTAAGGTCATCTTATATTCTTAAATTTTATTCGCTAATTGTTGTTAGGTGAAATACTTTACAAAAGCCTCATGGAACTTTTCTTATCCCCAAGAGAGGAAATGTTTACACACAAATATATACATCCAAATCTGACACCAATAAAAGTGACTTCTGATAATCTCTTTAAAAACAAAAATGCATTACAGATGTGTCATAGGACAGGACCACAGATTATGAAAGGGGGATATGGATGTAGCTAAAACAAGATGGGGCAGGGGCAAAGAAGAAAAAATTGGGACAACTGTAATAGAATAAACAATAAAAAATTTATTTTTGTTTTTTAAAATTTTATTTAAGAGAGAGTGGGAGAAAGGGAGGGAGAGAAACATCAATGTGTGAGAGACACATCGATGAGTTGCCTCTTGACCCACAACCCAGGCATGTACCCTGACTGGGAAATGGCACCTTTTGGTCTAGTCCCCAGGCATGTACCCTGACTGGGAACAGAACTGGCCACCTTTTGGTTCACAGGCTGGCACTCAATCCACTGAACCAGCCAGGGCTAAAAAAAAAGTTTTAAAGATTAGCTACAACTGATGATTATTACAGCTGAATGATGGATATATGGTGATTCATTGTATTACCTCTCCACCTTTGTGTATGTATGAATACACATACACAATGTGACTCTCATAATCAAGTTTTTAAATGAAATTTATTATTTATAAATGATAAGTGCTTATGGTTCATAATTCCAAAAAATGACACAATATTAACCTACACTAATCTCAACCATTAAGAGAAAAAATAAATATTTTATAATTCAATAACTATGAAAATCTCAATAAATAGGACAATTTCAAAACAGGCTTCATCTGGATGACAGGATTAAGTATGATTTGTTTTTTACTTTATTCTTTTCTGTATTTTCATATTTTTCATATGAACATGTATTTCTTTAATAATCATGGTTAAAACAGGTAGTCTGGGGAACCTATTAACCATAACCAAGTAATAACCACCCTGCCACAGCCCCACCTCCACACTCTCCAATGGACTCTGGCTCCCTACCCCACACTCTCATCCTCAGCTTCCTTTGTTCCTAAATGAAGGTTCAAAGGAATCCTAAGTGCCAAGACATTAAGGATAAAACAAATCCTGTCACTGGCAGGATTAAAGATTAATCTTTTTTTATTGTTGTTCAGGTACAGTTGTTTCCATTTTCACCCCACCACACAACATTAATCTTTATGACAAGGCCCATAAGCAAGACCTTACTCTCCATTTAGATTTTTTCTATAAAGTATATACAGGGTCCAGCAAAAGTAACTCCTGCTTGAGTTTGGGTGGTAGGGTAATAAAATGGGTGTAATAATTTATAGTATTAATTTGAATATTTCACCTGTCATATGGTGTGCTTGAGTGCAATATTATGTTCCAAAATTATATGCTTATGATTTTGTAATGAGATTTTGTAAATAAAAAGGGGCATTGTTTGTGCTGGATACTGTATTTAAAATTTTAAAGAACTGAGCTATATATGGACTTCTGGAATTAAAATTATTGACAGGTTGGGCTGTTTTTATGGCATCACTGTTTTTTGTGGCACCTGCTATAAGTGGATCATCAGATTTCCTGAAACAAGCAAATCTCTCCCCAGCACTGGAAGAAATTTGCTTGTTTCAGGAAATCTGGTGACCCACTTTAACATCCTGAAAAGGAGAAATGACTTATTCTTACTTCCATGCTATTGCAATAGCTAACTGTGGTGATACATTGTAGGTTTAATGATGTGTAGTAACAAAGTATGCAGTAACTAAATTAAACATTTTGATCCTTCATGAAAGTGTTTTCAATGTTTTTAAACTCAAATTCTTTAATAAATACCTACTGCCATCCATCGTATGAACCTATTTTATTTCTAGTTTATTACTTTGAATTCTCGGGAAGTTCAGAAACAAAGTGAGAATAAGGACAAACTGCAAGCGGGAACACTGCTGGCCTACTGCACACAAGTACTGTTTAATCAGACCTGCCTGCAATGGGACGCTACAGGGAGAGGTGTCCCTCCTGTTAGCTCCCTATAACTGCAGACGTTCAAAGGGAAATTGGGTTTTTACCATGCATGTTGTTAATAGAGAAGGGGATTATGTATCCTGACGAAAGATGTACTTGGTGACTTCTTAGGTCAGTCATCTCCTGTGGCTTCCCAATATTCCATCTTGAAACATCACTGACCTGTTTCCTGGGAATCCAACCCCAGAGAAGCCACTTCCCCGGGTTAAGCCTATTAGTGTGATTCCTGTCACTGGAGCTCAGAGCCCTACCTGCAAGCAAATGAAGTCTGCAACCAAACACCCAATTTATGAAGTTTTCCTCACACTTTATCCTAGAAAGTGCTGTGAGACAGACAAAGGGAGATTACTGCACCGATGTTCAGGTGTGAAACTCGAGGCTCAAAGGCTGGTAACTCTCTCGAGGCCACAAGGCTGGAAGCAGGTCACAAACTCGAACCCAGGATCTCAATTCTCAAAGCTCGCGTTTTGCCTTTGATACGTTCCCCAGAGGAGCAGCCCCAAGCTGCTCCCGCGTAACTCCCCGGTCAGAAATTGCCCTGCTCTTCCACACGCTCCCTCACATCCTCATTCCCTAGGAGGCTGGTCAGGGCCATTCAGCCTCCCCCCGGGAGAGTGAAGATTCCTTCCCTACAGCCCTGCTACCCTGACCGGCAATCCCCGCCTCCGCTCAGCTCTGAGTTCCACCCGCGGACTCACCAGTCCCGCCAGCCGCCTCTTTGCCCGGAAGCCGCTTTACCCGGAAGCTCCGCCCAAGCTGCTCAAGGGCTCCTTCAAAGGCCTTCCGCCACGCCCAGAGACCCAGCAGAAACGTTCCGGCTGCTTCAAGTGGAGGTAGTCGTAGTCGGGCGTTTCCGGGCCGTGGCATCCCCTGAACTGAAGTCGAGTGCGGGAAGGCACCTCTTGTTTACCTTCCAGCTAACGGAGAGGCGAAAAAAGGGTCATTCGGACTTGAAGGGTCGGAAGAAGAATGTAGACCCGACAACTGAGGAACATGACTTTGTTTTATTTCTAAAAAGTTGGCAGAGAGAACTCGCACCGCTACAGCAGCAGCAAACTAGAACCTTGCTATGCAACAATTTGCTTGGATGCTTCTGCTGCTCCTGCAGTTCATGCACTAAATATTTTATTGAACGTCTCCTTTGGGCCTGATACAGTTATAAGCACTGAGGAAATGCAATTAAAAACGAACAAAAATCCTTGGCCTCGTGAAGTTTCCTTCTACTATATGGAGACAGTTACCAAGAATCACACACTCTAAAAAATGGTGGTAGTGGCATAGAGAAAAATGAAGCATGGAAGGGGGAACGGTTTGCGGTTTAAAATAGCGTGGTCAGAGGAGTCCACACCAACACAGTTAAACCATGATCAGAATAAGGAAAGAAGTTAACCACGCTGATACTAGGGAAGAGCTCTCCAGGTAAAGGAAGATGCAAGTGCAAAGGTGGAATAGCACTGGTGTATTTGAGGGACTGCGTGAGAAAGCAGGGGATGAATGGTGGCCACAGAAATCAGGGAGGTGGGTGGCTCTGAGCATGGTGAGAACTTTGGGCGTTGATGATGGCTTGAACTAGTGTAGTATGGCAGCGCAGCAAGTGAGAAGCTATTGGATTCGCAATCTTGTCGATAGACTGGACATGAACAAGGAATCAGTAACTCCAAACTTTAGTTGAGCAAGTGAAAGACTGGAGTTGCAATTATTCAGAGGTGGAGCAGGGTAAGATCGGTTCAGTTTTAGAAAAGTTGTTTGAGATGCCTGTTAATACATATGGAATTATGTATTTCCCATGCTCAAGAAATGGAGAGGCAAAGCACCTCAGAATATTTGGAAAAGGATTAGTTAGGCCCAGGAGAGGAAGAGCAGAATGGAAGGACCTTATCTGGAGCTGCTCTGCTTCTCCATTAGCATACTCTTCCCGTCTGTTGTCTGTATTGCTTTGTTAGCACCAAAATCTTCCCATGTTTTCTACCCCCTCAAAAACATAAACAGGAGCCATCCTGCACAGTAGTGGAAAGAACAGACCTGGATTTAAAATCAAGCTCTGCCACACTCACTGGGTGACCTCAAGCAAATCACCTATAAAACGGGGATAACTCCATCTGGTACTAAAGCAAAGTGGAACAAAATATGTATAAATCCATGCTAATCCCTTGCCATAATTATGACACAGTATTCTAATTGTGTACCAAGTTGTAGAATGAATGGTCTAACCTAGCCAAATGTCTTAACTTGTAAAACTCAGGCACAACTATAAAGAATGGAACAATTTGTTCTTTGCTCATAGGTAGCTGGACACACACAGTTTAGGGTTAGGAAACTGATGAACAGCTCAGCCAGTGGAATAAAGTTTTGAAATTCAAACTGTGTAACTTTAAAGACTGGGAGAGGTGAACCTGCTTATTCCAGTATCTTTTTATGGAACTTAAATCATTCAAGAGACTCATTAAAAACCTCCAGAAGAGCTTGTTAACAGTATCTAATAATCCTTATCTTGCTCTGTAAACTCTATTCTTTTAAAGCATTTGTTAATCATTTATGAATAGTCACAATGCCAAGCTTAAACAGAACTCATAATGTGCACCCCGAAACTGCACCCAACACATATGAAGCATATAAAGGATTGGGATGATACATAAATATTTAAGACACAATTTGCTTTTTAAAAAGTTCTTTAAAAGTTTCACCTTTCGGCCTTAGGAATTAGATATAACTGGCCATATTTATTTACTTTCTGACAAGGGCTGGTCTAAGACACACATTAACTACCTTTATATAACCATATTAGGTACAAATATCTCTTTCAAATAAGCAAAATGTGATACAGGAAGGCCATTTGCCCAAGGTCACACAGCAAGTAATTGCTAAAGGACAAAGCAAGAACACATGCAAGAGCAAGCAGGTTCTTTGGCAGCAATTAGAGGGTTTTTTCTGGAACAGTTTCACATTTGTTGCAGAAACACACACACACACCATAGTTCTGTATTCATGTTCTTTTTCTAACTCCAAAGTGGCATTTTTTTTAACACAGTGTTTTCTAAAAACGACCCAAGATACCTGGGCATTTTATTCATGAAAAGTAGTCCCATTAGAAGAAATGTTACCAATATGAAATGGAAGAGGAGGGATAATTTTCCATCTGATTTATTTGTGCTTTCACACAAGACAGGTGACAAAGTAAGTGTAGCAGAACCATCAGCTGCCGGGAGATTGAGTTTGAATTTTTATTTCTCTGGCCGAGCCTTTGAAAATGTCCAGTTGACACACTTCCAATGCAACGCTGAAGAAGGAAGAATGTGTTTGTTTTATGTTAGGAACTCACCCCAACCCCTACAACTGAAGCTGAGATCCCTGAACTGATTAAAGAACACTTTTGCCCTGACCCTTCTTCACACATGCATACCCCCATTCGGGTCATTACAGATACCTCAGTATTTATGTGAAAACATTTCATGTTATTAGAAGTACTTAAGTGCACTCAAAATTAAAATAGGACATTTTATTAACATCAGAGCAACTCCACCTTATCGAACCCATTAATGTATTAACAAAGATAGAATGGGAGTATAGAACCTAATAATCAACAATTCAGATCATAAAAAAAAAACCAATTCAGATCATTAGTCCTCTTTACTGTAAAATGAGAAATGGCTGCAAGTCAATAGAGTGTTGTAAAAAACTAAGTATTTCATAGTGTGTGTTTGTATGTATAGACAATGTAACTTTTACTATAAAACTAAGACTTAAATTTATTTCAAAAAATACAAAGCACATATGACAAGCACCTGTTATTTTTTCTGGGCAGTGGGTTCATGTATATTCATAGTTTTCTGTATTTAAATTTTTCAAAATAAAGAAATTAAAATGTTGACCTACCTTTAATACAAAACACCCAGGTAAGGAAACTATGCAACGAACCTTTGCCAAGTGGACCCCCACTTCCACAGCAAAATCTTGAATAATGGTGCAAAGAGGAGAAAGTAGAATGTAGACATAAGAATCACAAAAGGTTAGAGGTGGAAGAGACCTCTGGAATCTAATCTAAACCTCTTATTTTCCAGTCTTGGAAACTGTTTGAGTGGCTTGTCAAAGTTTTATCTAGCTAGTTAATATCAATCCCAGCAGAAACTCCCTGATCCTGGTTCCTGAAGTGGTCTTTAGTAAGTACTACATTTGAAAAATGATTTTGTTATTTTACTTCAAAATCCAACTGCATGGCACAATTTTATAATGGAGACTTATGTATGGCCAGAACACTGGCAAGCTTGCCTTCATAAACTAAGTACGCTGACTTCCAAGAACAGAGTTAAAATTTTAGCACATGTAAAAATTAGTTAAGTTGCTCAAGAGAGTCCTTACCATTTGGTGTGACTCCAAAAGGTATAAAAAGCATAGACTAGTCATAAGTATGTAAAGCATATGGAAAATTAAGAATTTCTTCAATTTTTAAAATATTTTTTTAAGATTTTATTTACTTCTTTTTAGAGTGAGGGGAAGAGAGACAGACAGAGTGGGAGAGAAACATCAATGTGTGGTTGCCTCTCGCATGGCCCCCAATGGGGACCTGGCCTGCGACCCAGCCATGTGCCCTGACTAGGAATTGAACCAGCGACCCTTTGGCTCTCAGGCTGGCACTCAATCCACTGAATCACACCAGCCAGGGTGAATTTCTTCAATTTGAAGAAATCAGTGTTATAGTGGAAACATTACTTAAAAGTACACCTTTGGGACCTGGCTGGGTAACTCAGTTGATTAGAGCACTGTCCCAATACACCAAGGTTGTGGTTTCGACCCCAGTCAGGGCACATGCAAGAAGCAACCAATAAATGCACAAATGAGTGGAGCCAACAAGTTGACATTTCTTTCTCTCTCCCTATCTCGCTTCCCCTCACTCTCTAAATAACTGAATTGTATACTACCAATGATTAATTATGAATTCATCAAAATATTTTCACCAAAACAGAGTTCTAAACTGGGGAGATGCTCAGTCAACTTGGCTAGTGATGTTCCCAGTATTATGAGCTAATTTTACTTTACTAATAAAAGTGTTGATATTTAAGTGCAGGATCTGAAATATTTGATGTTTTGTTGTACTGGATGCTAGTGTCAGACAACTGGCCTTCTTAGAGCTGACAGACTGGGAAATAAGCAACCAGTACAGCACCTGAAATAGTTTAAAACAATAACAGATACCACTGCTGAGTGTAGTTTTGTACAGCTTAAAATTAACAGCTCTAATGACATCAAACAGGCATGTTATAGAAAGAAAACACCTGGTTTAATACCTTACAAAATATGTATAGAACTTGAACATTCCTGTAAGATGCATTTCAAGTCACAACCAAATTACAGATGTAATCAGATACTCTAATATAATGAAAAGGCCAAGTTGGTTTTTTTAAAAAGCATGTAAACCATAAAAGATTAAAAAGTATTTAAAAATACACAATAAAATTCTAACCAGTGGTTTTAAATTTTGATTTTAAAAGTAAATATTTACAAGCTTTAAATTTCAAAATTTGTTACTTTTACATGATCTTTATTACCAAGATAACATAAAACAATAAAAAGCTCTTTTAACCATTTACACATACACAAAAATATCAATAGGGAAGTTGGTAGAATGCAATATCCACAGCAGCTAAAATGTAAATGGCCAGGGACTTTATTAATGGAGTCATAGAAGAGACTTAACCAAAACTGCAGGCTAGGAAATAAGCAGTTTCACTTCATTGCAGGGACCCAGTTTCCTTATCTGAAAAGGAATGATTATAAATAATAGTTATGTAAAGGGAGCATTCTGGGAGGATTAAATGAGATCACCTACTGGAAACAATGAAGTACTAAGGCACAACTGCCTAGGGCATGAAAGTTCACAGCACAGTCCACTCAGCAACCTTCCTTTAAGGTCAACAGTTTAAAAACCTCAAACAAATTAGTTCTTAATAAAAGAACCAAAGTTTAAAGCATAATATCCTTAATTGGAGTGTTCAGCCCAGTTGATTATCAAAAGGTACTTATAAAATGCTTCAATATCGATGATATTAAAGCTACCAAAACTCTGTAATGGTCACAAGGTTTGTCCTCTCTGGCTGGAGTCCAAAGTCATTCTGCATCCTGACAGCATCACTGAGACATACCAGACGCCCCTTAGCCACTCAGACGATCTGGACTCTGCTTTCTGTCTTCCCTCTGTCATAGTCTCCAACCATTTTCTTGATGTGTGACAACTTACTCTTCAACTGTTTGCAATAATTCCTTTTACTTTTGTAATTTGCAGACTAAAAGAAGGGAAAAAATGAAAAAGGTGAATTTAACAATATAAAAATGAGTTATGCGTAGCTGCTGGGAGGGCAGAGGTGAGGTGAAAACCAGGGGGAGCACTGATCAGACAGAACTGTTGGGAGTGTTGAAGGACGTGACCTACACAAGGCACTTGGCGGTATCTCAGACCAGACAGGCAGCTAATTCTCTTTGCTGCACAAGGTCTTCTAACCTGAGTTCCACAAAGGATACACTCACTGCTAATGATTTGTAAAGTGCCAAAAAACACTTATTGGCCTTTTTGCTAACACAAAGGTCATCTAAAAATTCAGTAAAACAACAAACTGGTGATATCAGTTAACTTCAGGAAGAGGAACTGCATAAATGGCACGTGAGACAGGAAACTGTGAATGCTTTTAAACTCTTGCATTTAAAGTGATGTTTTGTAATTTAAAAAATTAACATAAAATCTTATTTTTTTAATGTTTTTTTAAAGATTTTATTTGTTTATCTTTAGAGAGGAAGGGAAGGAGAGAAGGAGAGAAATATCAATGTATGGTTGCCTCTCATGAGTCCCCTGTTGGGAACTGGCCTGCAACCCAGGCACGTGCCCTGACTGGGGAATCGAACCGCAATCGTGTGGTTCACAGGCCCGTGCTCATCCACTGAGCTACACCAGCCAGGGCAACATAAAATCTTTTAAAAACAACAACAACAAAAACACCTGAAGTCAAGAAAAAGTGATAATGGCAAGTGTTGGTAAGGATATAGGGCAACAGGAATGCACACTTCTTGGTAGGTCCATGAATTGGTGCAAACCAGGAAAGCTGTTGGACAGCACCAGATACACACTTGCCCAATGACCCTACAATTTTATTCCAAAGTATATACCTAACATGTGTGTGCACATGTACACACACACTTAAATGTTTGAAGCTAGGCTGGTTGTAAAAGCCCTAACCAGGAAACAACACAAATGCTCATTAATGAAAGAATAAATGAGTGAGTTGTGTTTTACTCACAAAATAAGTAAAAATAAATGGTCCACAACTACATGCCAAAACATGAATGGATCTCACATAGTACTGAGCAAAAAATTCAGTCCTGGCCAGGTAGCTCGGTTGGAGTGTTGACCTGATATACCAAGGTTGTGGGTTCAATCCCAGGTCAGGGCACATACAAGAAGCAACCAGTGAATGCATAAGTAAGTGGAACAACAATCAGTATGTGTGCGTCTGTCCCTATCAAATCAGTAAACACATCTTTTTTTTAAATCACACATACATGTTTCCAGTTATGTAAGGTTCAAAACAGGCAAAATTAATCAATAATGTTAGAAGTTGGGATGGTGGTTACATCTGGAAAGAATTTAAAAACTGGAAGAGAATATAAGAGGGAATTGTCAGGGGTACTAGGAAATGTATTCTTTGATCTGAGCACCAGGTACAAAGGTGTGTGGTTGCTTTGTGAAAATTTACCAGGTTGTACACTTTGATTTGTATACTTTTCCATATATATACTTCAACCTTTAAAACAGTTTTAAAAAATCAGTATTGGTTGCAGCTGCAAGCAACTGAAATTAAGGTTCCAACATCTTGGGTATAATTTATCTTGCAATTATTGGGCCTTCTGTCCATAATCAGTGCATGGGTGACAAGGGATTCATAGTCATTCTAAAGATTAAAGGAAAAACATGTAACAGAAAAATTCTTCCTAAAAGAATCTCACAATATGGGATACTTACTCCTTTCACTTCCTTCAGTCTATTGTATTCATCAGCAGCAGCCTATTAATGAGAAACACAAGGGAATACGTTCAATGGCATATTTCCTCTTTCAAAAAGAACATTACTGGTGCTATATTTTGAAGGTAAAACTGCCAAAAAATACAGGAAATTAAAATAACAAAGTCTTAAAGCTCGTAAAGCTATCATGGTCAGGAGGCAGCCTGAGGAAGCCGGTGACGAGAAATCAGTAACAGACCTTACATTCCGTTCACATGGGCAGGTCACGACTTGTTCTGCCTGCCTCTCCTCTTTCCCCACGGCAGTCCATGTGCCACGCTGACACCACAGAGGTCTTGTAAAGCACAGCTCTGATCAGGTTATATCCCATTATAAAACTGGTCAGAGCTCCCCATTAATTCCTCTACTAATCAGGTCTCCCACCTTCCCAGACCTAGCTCCCATCATTTGCAATTCCTTTTAAAAACTGAGCATGTTAATGCTTCCAGATTTCTACCATGTTTTCCTTATGGCTGTCCTCATGTACCCCTCCCCGATCTGAGAGAATCTGCAATGGTTGCCCTGCAATGAAGACTCTCCTGAACTTTTCAGGCCTTTATCAGACCTTACTCCTTCCCCCAGCAATCAGTTACAGTACTACCTACACATGATGTGAATATGGCATTTGTCTAAGTTGTTTAGATGTCAGTTTCTCCCTTAGGATATGAGCTCTTTGAGGGCTGACCCAGGATTTTACTTATCTTTCTCATTTCAGCACTTCTACATCAAGGACACAATAATGATCCATAGTAATTGTTCATTGAGTTGAGAAAGGTTTATGACAACCGCATACAACAGCCATAAAACAATAGTTAAATCAAACTATATAAACAAATGCTTCAAAACTGAAAAACAGATCACCCCAATTAAAAATAGCAAAGGGTATTTTATAAAATGAATATGAGGTTTCCAATAAATGAATGATGTGATAAAAAAGTTTAAGTACTAATATCTAAGACAGAAGGCAGTCATTTTTCAGGCACTAAGTATTAGTGAAATGTGCATCAGATGAACCCTCTAGAGCATCATTAGCAGGAATGCAGTTGATATAATCTTCCTGGAGGTAAGTTTTGCAATAAAAATTTAAATGTGCATAACTTCTTTTTTTTTAAAAGATTTTATTTATTTATCTTTAGAGGGGAAGGGGGGAAGGAGAGAGGGAGAGAAACATCAATGTATGGTTGCCTTTCGTGCGTCCCCTGCTGGGAACTGGCCTGCAGGTAACCGGCCTGCAACCCAGGCATGCGCCCTGACTGGGAATCAAACCCCAATCGTGTGGTTCACAGGCCCTCACTCAATCCACTGAGCTATACCAGCCAGGGCTGTGCATAACTTCTGACTCAGCAATTTTATATTCTGGAATTTGTTCTAGCTATACAAATACGCAAATATGAAGAGGTTCACCAGCGTATTACTGGTACTACTGAGTAGGCGGGGACAGGGGGTAGACAGACCTGAATGTCTACTCACAAAGAATGACTTTGTTTTTTTAGATTTTATTTATTTTTAGAGAGAGGGGAAGGGAGGGTGAAAGAGAGAGAGAAACATCAATGGGAGAGAGAAACATTGAACAGTTGCCTCTTTCATGCCCCCAATCAGGGATATGGCTTGCTACCCAGGCATGTGCCCTGACTGGGAATCAAACCCACATGACTGGGAATCATGGTGCCCTGACTGGCCACCTTTTGGTTTGTAGGATGATGCCAAACCCACTGAGCCACACCAGTCAGGGGCAGAGGATGACTCTTAAGTAAATTATGGTAACCACAGAATTGAATACTGTACAGTTATTTTTAACAGATAAATTTTTTTAGTAAGTACTATATTTTGCCATGCATGATGCACTCCCATGTATAATGCATACCCATAGTTTTGTGTGCATCATACATGGGATTATTATACCCATTACTATACCCACGTATAACGTACATCCTTGTTTTTCCCACAAAAACTTGGGCAAAAACGTGCACATTATACAGCAAAATATAGATCTTTATTATTAATATGAAAAGATAACCACAGGCTGTTGTTGAGTAAAAAAGCAGGAGAACCCTGCCTGGGTGGCCCACTTGGTTGGAGCCCAGTCCAGTGCAACAAAAGGTTGCAGATTCAATCCCCAGTCAAGGCACATGCCTAGGTTATGGGTTTGATCCACGGTCAGGGTGCATAGAGAAGGCAACCAATCAACACTTCTCTCTCTCGCTGACTCCCCCCTTTCCTCACTAAAACCAATGAACATATCCTTGGGTGAGGATTTAAAAAAATCACACAGGATCTAGGCAGTGGCAGAAAGCATTTAAAAAGAAAACCCCCCACAAGGATGGGGGTACACTGAACAGACAAAAGAAGCAACTGAAAGAGTTCCCAATGGGCACAGCTATAACAACGCAAGCAACAAAATAAAGCAGTATTTGACTATAACTGAAAGTATAAATTAAGACATCCATGAATCCATGCTGATGTAAGTGACCGACTAAGTAAATTTAAAAATGTTAGAAGTGACACATTTCCCATGCAGAGGAACTGCAAATAATTAGTGTAAGTGAACTGCCTTTAGCGAGCTGCAGCGTAATTCCCAATCCCTGAAGTGTGATCGATGCAGCGCTACTTCCTTCCTAAGAGTATAATGTGGAAGGGGGCGATTCAAAAGGACAGAGTAACTATAAAGAGACCAATACTATCTCAGCCAGGCGATCAGGGAAAACAAACAAAAACTATTTTTGAGTAACAAAGCAGGAACAATACAGGTAAAATAATAAGATAATTCTTTATCAAAGACGATGTGTGTCCAGGTGCACTTCTACATGCATGGGCTAGTTCAAAAACTAATATTTTGGTGATAACCAGGCAATGGAATTTTAAAAATGTATACAATTCCATATTGTTTGAACTTTTTACAGAAAAAAATGAATTGGGTATATAAACAGAAAAAATAATATAGTTGTTTTCTTTTAACTAGGATGGGATATATGTACATAGACTATTGCTTTGTAATTCTTAACTCCATTAGTATTAGTACATTCTTCAATTTGGAAGACTTTCATCCAAGACTCAATTTCAATTATTCTTCAATGAAGTTACAGTTTGATAATTACTAGCAAATTTTGTATCAAGATCAGTATGAGGGATACTGGATTTCCACAGATTAGAATAAGAGTATATATAATATATTAATTATCAAGTTTGAATTTACCATGTATTCTTCACTTTCTTCTCTATAGTTATCCAATTCTTTATCCAGACGAGAGAGTTCTTTATTGATCTCATCAAGTTCAGCTTGTAAGCGCTTGTATTCCTGCAGGCCGGTGTCGAAACTTCGCTTATAGAGTTGTCTTTGATGATCCGAAGTGATAGGTGGATATTCCCTAAAAATTCAGTGAGAAAATGACTATGTATCCTTAGCAGACATAATATGCAGTGCTTCTTCCTCAAACATAAAACTGATGGGATGTAGAGAATGACATTCTTGTTTTCTTTTTGTAGCTTAAGGGGAATAGGAAAGTGGGTTCCAAACAAGTTCTCTTAAGAATTATACATTACACATCACTGATCATGTTTTTAAAACACTATGCCTACATAATTTTTAGAAATAAAGTTAAAAACTATGAAATTTCAGGTTCAAGTCATAAGAACCCATTTATTCTGAATATATAGTATGATAATTCAACATATGTTTAATGTCCTAAAACTGGAATTCGTGAACACAAAGGATGTTGTCACCGCTGCAGTGACAGAGCAGCTGACTGGCAGCTGGCTATTTTCCACCATAGTTTTCAGGCTGTTTCAGGGTATGGGGGTTTTTTGATGGTTGTTCTTGTTTTTGATCTTGGTCTTGTTTTTCTTAAGTGGAAACTGCTTAAGTCCTTTGATTATAAAATTAGAACTTAAAATGTATCTGTCTAAAAATGCATGCTCATTGTACAAATAATTTGGCAATGCGTTAAGCTATGGAAAAAACTCTACAATTCTGATCCCCTGGATCTCTCGGTATACCAGCTATTATTTACATATGAAGATAATGCTATTCACCCATAATCCATGGAGGAAATACTCTGAGTTGTTTAACAGAACTAAGAAACTTCACTGCAACAAAAAATTTGCAATTTTAGATTTAAATCACTCTAGTATCTTCATTTTACAAAGAGAAGAAATTATTCACTCAAATGGAAACAGGAATTCAGGATTTCTAAAAGTTAAGTACTTCACAGATAAATGGCTGAAGTAGGCCAAGAACCCTTAAGGACAGAGGGGGAAATGAGGCATGAGAACCGCAGGTGAGGAGGGGAATTCAGACTATACACCCCCCACCATCCCTAACACCTTGAGAAGCAATGCTTGATTAATCACCATCTGCACCATGAACATTTCCGATTTGTGCCCCAATCCTCACAATGCTCGGGCATAAAAAGGCTGCACATCAAACACGAGCAGAGTCGGTGGTAATGGACTAGAACAAAACCACTGACTCACACACAAAGGGACTCAGCCACAACCCTGACCAGAACATTAAATTGATAACTGTTTACAGAACTGTTTTCTCAAGTCCTCGGGAGAAACTTTTTAAAACATCGCTGGTCTCATCGTGAAAGCTTAAAAGTAAATGCCGAAGCAAAGCCATACGTAGCACCAATCTGGGTGCTACAATAAATTGGGTGCCAAATAATTGGTAAAATAAAGTTTCTCTTTACTTGTATTTTATTTGTTAGAAAGGCCTTTCTTGGGTGACGTGGTAAAGTAAGTGCCCTGGTGAACTTTATCAGCCATTTCATGGGGGGCTGTTGAAAGTGTTTTTAAGCCATGGTTACAGCCAAACCTACCCCCTCCACGCCCACTTTATGACGAAAGAGCACTAAGGAAAAACATTAAGTCTCTAGTCCTGGCTGGCAAAGAACAAAATTATACCATCCACCCCCATTTAGGAGGCAAGGGCTCCACAATGTGAAGATCAGCCGTGCGGAGTTCCAGCACCAGAGGCCAGCCGTACCTGACCCAGTCCTCCTCCAGCTCCTCGCAGGACTCGCCGCCCGTTGTGTAGTCCGTCTCGTAGTGGTCCTGCTCTGGCCTCTTCGGCTTCCCCGCTCTCCTCTTTGTGGGAGCCCTTTTAGAAGGTGTCTCAAAGTTATCATTGCTGCTGTAATGAGGCTGCCTGAAGTCATTCACGGGTGAAGTCACTGGAAGTTCCTGTACTACTTCGGGCACCCTAATAAAACAGGAATTATTGTTCAGTGATCACTGGGCACACTACACACCTTTGTGGGAGCACTGTAAGCACAAAGAGCAGCACGGTGACTATTAGGAGATCTGTTGGGAACCATCCTGCCTGGTTTCAGAAACTGTAACTCCCATGGCTAAGGCTGAGTAAAAGACCTGGGGACCATATGCTACCAAGGAGACAAAGCTTATCTTTCCAGCAGGGGAGCCACCTCTGCCCCCTTTACTTTACCCTGCTTGGCCCCGGGTAGATGGGAAAGATTCCTCAAGGGAGCACTGACCTAAAACAGGCACAGTTACAATGGAGCCATTAAGGAAGGACTATAGAAAAAGGGAGTGATGGACCCTCACCCCTCGGCTTTGACATAGCCTGAGTGCTCATTCTGTCTGCAAGAAGTCTCCTAATCTCTTGGCTGCTGGCACCCCCAACCTGACTTAAGCCTAAAACAATGCCAGACGTGGGTGTGGCCTGTGCTGGAAAGGTTCCCTGGGCAATCAGGCCTAAGAAAAGAATACTTAAAAACCCTGTGAAACCTGCTTTACTAAGAATGCCCTCAATATAAATGGTAAGGATCCAAGCATAAAATGAGTTTGTTTCCTAAAGTTTTCCTAAGGTTTTATTTAGGTCAGGCTGATCTGGAGATGTGCTCACCTGACCTGTGCCCGGGACATACTCCACAAGAGGCTGTCAGGAAAGTAACGGTCATGGGTCTTTGCTACAGGTCTCAGAATGCTGAGTGGAGAAGAGGAATGCACAGACAGATCTACTCAAGGCCACTGCGAAGTGGACTCTGAGACACAGGTCTTTGTAATATTAACTGTAGAGTCCTATATATATATGTCAAGTATCTTTTCAAAGTATTTTAAAAAGCTAAAAACACTAAAAATTTAAACTAGAAAAATTAAATCCAAAAAACTAAAAAGCTTTATATCATAGTAGATAAAAAGAACTCATTAAGACTTTTTAGAAAATGGCTTTGTTCATCCTGAGGCATCAGAGAATAGATAGAATGTAAGGGTTATTACCATTACACTTACCTTTCCAATGCAATCATTCAATATTGCATCAGACTTTTCATTGCATATCAATGTTTCTACCACAATCTTTTTTTAAAGATTTTATTTATTTATTTTTAGATTAGAGTGGGGAAGGGAGGGAGAAAAAGAGGGAAAGAAACATCAATGTGTGGTTGCCTCTTGAGTGCCCCCTACTGGGGACCTGGCATGTGCCCTGACTGGGAATTGAACCAGTGACCCTTTGATTTGCAGGCCCACACTCAACCACTGGGCCCCACCAGCCAGGGCCTGTCACAATTTTAAAACCAAAGCTTGACACAGAATAAAATACCAAGAGCTCTGGCAACTGTACAGCACTTCTGAGTACTAGAAATGCTCCCCTTTCCCTTGTAGCAGAGCTGGAGAAGGGGGAGAGAAAGGGAAGGAAAATAAAAAAGCACCTCAAACTTCCCAACCATTAAAGACATATACAGATTTTCTTAAGTCTTTCAACTTAGCAACTATAATCTTGAGCTTTATCGATGAAGTTTGCTCTCTTTTCTAGGTGATCCAAAACTGCTTGATTCTGGTTGTCAAAGTCTAAAGCTTTGGTGTGTATGTATCTGTGTGTGTGTTGGCAGTTGAAGGTGATGTTGGTATTTATTTTTTCTTTCTAAATTTCTTCAGGATAACATGGCTTTGTGTGCTATGTTAATAGTACTTGTAAAAAAGAGAAAATGTGACTTTTTCCACGAGTTAATAATTAAACAAGTTCCTAGACATACTGCGTTCAGGTGACAAACAAAACCTTTAGCATGCATTCGGTTTATCTGAGTAGGTGGGGACCAGAAGGGAAGGAAGCTAAAGGGCAAACAAAATTAAGTAGAAAAAACAAAATTAAGTCCTGGCCGGGTAGCTCAGTTGGTTGGAGCATTGTCCTGATATAACATGCTTGCAAGTTCAATCCCCAGGCAAGGCACATACAAGAAGTAACCAATAAATGCATAAATAAGTGGGATAATAAATCAGTATCTCGATTTCTCTCTCTCTCCCCCCTCCCTGTTACTCTCTAAAAACAATACATTAAGTTTAAAAAAAAGCATTAAAGCAGGTCTCCCCCCACAATTTTTTATTAGTTATTGATATTATAAATCTTTACCTTGGAAGTTTTTTACCTCCCTTCTTCCTATGTCCTTTGAAATGCTAAGGAATAACATACTTCGTACAGGATAAAAGCTGAAAACAAAATGCTTAGCAATAAAAGTATATATAAATTTAAGAGCTAGGGAATATGTATATCTCAATAATCTTGGAACCTACTTTTTTCTTTCACACCTCCTTTTAGACACAAGTCCTACTGGGAAAAACATGCACAGCACAGAACAGGTAGCCAGCTGTGTCCTTTCCCCAGTATCCAACTTGGTCTCCCTGTGCTGGAAGTTCTCCCTTTTGTAGCTTTTGGGCTGATTCTTTTTTATTCATTTGTTTTATTCCCTCCCATACACCCTCACATGCTTTTGCTGCTCTTATCTTGCCCCAAGTCTCAATGTAATTATCATATACTTTCTTCAATGCCTCTTAGTTTGCAACCTCCACGAGAGCATGGCCTTTGTATTCCCATGGCAACGGGCCCAGCACTGTGTGTACATGGCAGGTGTTCAAGGTAATTACTGAACTATAAACAGTTACAAGAATCCTGTTTTCTGATGACACCAGTTTCAATGAGGGAGAAACAATGCATGATCAACATCACTGCCTTGACTTCCAGAATGATACCCATCATATACACGGTTGTTAGAACTGTCACCACTATTGGGGGAAGTAACTAAGCCTTGCTAATCAGAGAATTTCACCTTCCTGATGGAGATGACAGTGGCCCAAAACAGCGACTTGGAATCTTTTCAACAGATTTGAAAGGCAAGTTTTGGGAAAGGGAAATTCCATTTCTTAATCCTGGGCTGGAAGATCAATGCAGCTTGAGGAATGTGGATGACCCATCCTGTTACAACTGGGAATAAAGGCAACACAGCGACAAGAGACCTGATGTCTTCTGAGTCGCTGGATCATGCCATGCCTGACGGAGATCCATCCCAAGGCCTTACATGAACCAGCGAATTCCTACAACTCACACAAAAAGCCCTCACGGATCACCCCACCAGTCCATTTGCTACTACCAAACAGCGATCTGTCTTTCTGTCATTCTAGGGTGTCATCCTGCCATGAACGCTATCTGTGGTGTCAACACTCAACTTCCATGACTTATTAAGGTTAATTCACCCCGAGTGTGGACAATATAGTAGGGAGTGGACCTCACAGGGCTCTCCCAAATTCACTTAGAAAGGGTGAAGTAGCAATCATCTTCAACTGAATTCTGCTGTCATCTAATCCACAAGTAATTCTAACAGCACTGAAATTCTAAGGTATAGGACATTATGACGAGAAAGAAGAACCAAATATGAGAGTAATTACTGTGTAATTCCATTTAATACCAGGTCCTGGCTGGGTAACTCAGTTGGTTAGAGTGTCGTCCCAATCACCAAGGTCGTGGGTTTGATACCCAGTGAAGGCACAAACAAGAATCAATCATGAATGTATAAATAAGTGGAACAACAAATCTATGTTTTTTTCTCTCTCTCTCCCTTCCTCCCTCTCTCTAAAATCAATAAATTTTTAAAAATTAAAAAAAAACTCTAGTAACAAGCTAAACTAATAGGTTGTGATAAGCATCAAAAGAGTGGTAGGGGGTGGGAATACTGATGACAAAAGGGCCCGAGAGGACCTTTGGGACCACAGTTTGAGCACATTGAATGAAATTGAATACACCATTTCCTATAGCCCAGCAATTCTGCTTTTCCTCCAGATATACTGACATATGTGTAAAGTGATAAGTGTGTAGCAGTCTCTATGGGATTAATAAAATAAATTACTGATGGAATATTATGCAGCTGTGAAACAGGCCAGTAACCTCTTTGTATACCAATATGAACAACTCCAAGATACATTGCTAACAAGGCATTTAATATGTTAGCATTTTTTAGCCCTGGCTAGTGTGGCTCAGTAGTTTTAGAATGCCAGCCTCCAAACCAAAATGTAGCTCGTTCAATTCCCAGTCAGGGCTCATGCCTAGGTTGTGGGCCAGGTCCCCAGTTGGGGGCGCACAAGAGGCAACCAACTGATGTACCTCTCATACATCCGTGTTTCTCTTTTTCTCTTTCTCCCTCTCTTTCCGTCTCTCTAAAAATAAATAAATAAAACCTTTTAAAAACATAATATGCTAATATTTTTAAGGAAAAAAATAACCAGCCCTGGCAGGAGCAGCTCAGTGGATTGAGCGTAGGCTGTGAACCAAAGGGTCACTAGTTCAATTCCCAGTCAGGACACATGCCTGGGATGTGGGCCAGGCCCCCCAAGTGGGGGCCATGTGAGAGGCAACCACACATTGATGTTCTCTCCCTCTCTTCCCCTCTCTCTAAAAATTAAAAAAAACTAAGAAATGAAAAACAAAGGAAATCTCACCTTTTAAAAAAAGAAAAAGAAAAAAATAACCAATATTCTTATTTGACCAGTATATTATATTTAAAAATAACCTCTGGAAGGATATAAAAGAAACTGGTAATACGAGCTGTCTCCAGAGAGAGGACCTAGGGGTCTATTTTTCCCTTTTAAATTTTACATTATGAATGTATTGGCTTACTCAAGAATAAATAAGGTTTTTAAATTGTTCCAAATGGATGTGCAAATACTCAGTTTTTAGACTCATTCTATCAGAAGGTTCTGCTTACAGTGAACCTATCTTGGTTTTCATGAAAAGGGACGGCACGTGGGAATGCTCTGTGACCATGCAGGCCTTACAGCTAGCTCCTTTAGAGGCTCAGCTGGTCACATGCATTATAGACAATTATTTTCTATGTGTGAAAGTCCCGTAAATTGTAGCTTAAAACTTTCACAAGGACTGTATTGCTACTATGTACCTTTGCCCTTATTACTCTCAAGTGCTTTGGTCTTTGTTAAAATCCAAAAAGAAGGAGAACAGTGAAAATGTTCTTCCTCCAAATCATTCACAACGGAAATGAACAGCAAGGTCAGTTCTGCAGAGCAAAGCAAAATATTTGGAGGGTGAGGCAGACTGCCAGTGTGTTTCCAAATTCCACTGCAGGATAATAATCAATCTATTGTCTTCAAACTCAGCTGGTGGTGTCACTTTATGGGGTTTCAGCCACACAAAATGTGCACTCAGAGTGGATCTCTATGTAACAGAGCCCACTAAATAAGGGTGTGGGGTTGAAATAAAACTTTCAAAACCAGAAAGTTTTCCGGCAGATACACCTTTAACTAAGAAAAATCAAACTAGCTAAAGGGAAGCTTTCTTTCTTTAGTCTATAAAGGAATTTGGAGTTCTAGAATTATATATGGCAATAATAACTTACCATCCTTAGGCAAAAATTACATCCAAGTCCTTAGCAACACCTCCAGCATCCTTCACTCACCAGTCATTAAGCTGAATTAGAAGTAGTCTTTAGGGAAAACTGAAACCACAATGGGACACCATTTCAATAACTATAATGATACCTACTCCAGGTCAGAAACTCACTATGAGGTTTTGTTTTGTTTTTTTAATCCTCACCCAAGGATATGTTTATTTTTTTTTTAATTTTTATTTATTTATTTTTAGAGACAGGAGAAGGGAGGGATAAAGAGAGGCAGAGAAATATCAATGTGTGGTTGCCTCTTACCTGCTCCCTACTGGGGACCTGGCCTGCAACCCAGGCATGTGCCCTGACTGGGAATTGAACCTGCAATCCTTTGGTTTGCAGTTTGGTGCTCAACTCACTGAGCCACACCAGCCAGGGCAAGGGTATGTTTATTGATTAGAGAGAGAGAGAGAGAAACATTGATGTGAGAGAGAAACATCCATCTGCCTCCCATACATGCCCTGACCAGGGATCAAACCTGCAACCTAGGTAAGTACCCTGACCTGGATTCAAACTCACAATCGTTCAGTGTACAGGACGACATTCCAACCGAGCCACAAAGCCAGGGCTCAGTTGGAATGAGGTTTTTTACACTACATGTAAAACAAAACCTACAGGCTTTATCAGCAACATGGAGGCTCTAGCACAGAAAAGGGGATCTCAGAATTCACGAATTTAAATGAAGCCTTATAGTTTAATAAAAATGTATATGAACAGGGTTGATCGGCGAGCAATCTCCCCTTTCTATTGAGGAAAGAGTGAAGACAGGGAAAATATAAAATAGAGTCATTTTAACCAAGCTACTAAATTATTTAACATTATGAGGGTTGAAGCATGAAGAAATGATTCTTCTTCTTATCTTAAATTGCTTGGGATCTTCAACTTTTAAACTTTTCAGGCCTAAGCCAATACCTAGGTAATGCCCAGACATCCATCACACTTGCGGATAGCCCTGTGACTACCCGCTAAAGGATTCAGGACAGGACTAGACCTCCTGGTGCCCATCCTCCTGACCACCTGGCATCTGTCACCCGGACTGCCTGACATCTGACCGATACGTGTCCTATACCAGTGCGAGGGCTCAGAACGCAGGACTGATTATTCTCAAAATTGCAACCTGTACTGTAAGAACTCTTAACTTTTCTTTCTTCTTTGGAACACTTCTAGGTTTTTACCTAGCTATGTTACCAGTTTGCAAACTCTAATACCTGTGAGTAAATTTTTATCATTTATTTCTAGCCAAAGCCTCCTGACTGTTTGAGCTTATTCAACACTTTTTTTTTGAAAACACTTGCCCATTTTCTTCTTTTTTTTTAAAGATTTTATTTATTTATCTTTAGAGGGGAAGGGGGGAAGGAGAGAGGGAGAGAAACATCAATGTACGGTTGCCTTTCGTGCATCCCCTGCTGGGAACTGGCCTGCAGGGAACCGGCCTGCAACCCAGGCATGTGCCCTGACTGGGAATCGAACCACGATCGTGTGGTTCACAGGCCCACACTCAATCCACTGAGCTACACCAGCCAGGGCTTTATACTTTTAACGAGATCTAATAATTATAGGCAAAAGGAGAGACTGACAAATGCACTTTAGCTCTGCTACCCATCACTAATGTCCTTTTACCCACACCTATACTGAAAACCTGAAGTAGGAAAGAGAACCACATTCCTAGAGTGAAAGAACCTAACCTACCTTCTACCTGTTAAATCATCAAGAGAAAAACACTTTCAGCTTGGAAGGGGAAGAGAACCCTACCGCACAGTCCCACTCTCCTTATCTTCCAAATTACCCTAAGCATTCACCTACAATGCCAAGGTGGGTCTCCAGCCCTCATGCAAACTATTGGATTTTTAAAAATATAAATGGAACGAAACCGCACCTGATTTACAGATGTGCAGATACTCAGTTTTTAGACTCATTCTACTTACGGCACTGATTTATAGGAGGACTCTGCATATGCTCGCTTGTCATTCACTCTGCCGTTGGAGGAGCAGGCCACAGGACTGTACACTCCATCCACAAAGTCCGAAGGGGGGGGAGGCAGGTCTTGTGTGCCTACAGACACATTTTTAACCTAAAGAAACAGTCCCAAGAGACACAGGTATTATTTAGCTTATAATTTAAAGGGGGAGGAAATGGAGAAAATATACATAAAGTGATCTAGTATTTACTGAGCTCATTAAATAGTATCAACCTGTAATGACTGCTCGTTATTATTAGTGGTAACAGTCAAATCAGTATCTTTACAAACAAAAGTCCAGAATGAATTACAAAGAAAAAAAAATCCCAATTACCTCTCATCTTGATGAGATTAGGTAGAATAATTACCCACCTAACTGCTCCACCCCCATATAAGGAAGACTAATCTCATTTATCTAGGCTAGGTCTGTGTTAGGGTGAGAATTCTCATGTCTAACAAGTTCTAGGGTAATGTTTATGCTGTTGTCTGAGGACCACACGTGGAATACCTCTTAGCAAGGACAAAGGACACAGGCTCTTCTTAATCTACTCACCATAAATATGGACCATTAAAACCACCGAAGTATTAAACTCGAACTGATTTCTGCTATAGTTCCTTAATGAAATCTGCGTGTTCTCCCTTAACATACATTCTCCATGGCTCTATTATTAACAGCCTATACAATGCAGTCACAACATTGCTGCCAGCCTCTCTGCTTTCCAGTGAGTTTGTTCTAAGAATGAGTATGTATTAGAGACTATGCTTTGTTAACATGAAAGGTTTCCCACGGAAACTTTGGAAGAAAAATTTAAATTAAATAAGCATAGCTGATTAGATTCCCAACATTGTTAGAGTTCATGAAATAGATCCAACGCTCTTTAAATTTCACCTAAAAATTTGCCCTGGCTGGTGTGGCTCAAGTGAATTGGATTATTTTGCAACTGTGAATACTTGCAGTTAGGCTCAGTATCAATACAGTGTATTTCCTTGCAACACACACTTTACATCTTGTTTCCTGTTAGGTATAGCATCATAACATGACCTGCTCCTTTTCCTATCGCTGCAGTATCACATGTCGAAGTATTTATTTACCCACCCCTCTAAGGACATGGAGGTCTTCTTGATTGTTTAATATTCCCGTGAGTCAGAAAGGAATGAAATCATTTCCTCTTGAAAATAGAGCTTGGCAGCAACTGGGAAACCAGTGGGTGGGTTGCCAGGGAGTGTGCTTAGATCCCACCACAGGGGGGTTGGGTGGGGACCAATCTTGGCTCTCCTGATGAATTCCTTAGGACTTGACTCCATAACCAAGCTTCACAGGCAAAAAGCTCTGCCAAGCCAAAGGCCTATTCCTATCCTGGAGACTTCGTCAGAATTCAAAAAGACTTCCTTTTCTTTAAAACTCATTTCACATCTTGCCCTGGCTGGTGTGGCTCAATGGACTGAGTGCCAGCCTGCAAACCAAAGGGTAACTAGTTCGATTCCTAGTCAGGGCAACATGTCTGAGTTGCAGGCCAGGTAGCCAGTAGGTGGCACTTGAGAGGCAACCACACATTGATGTTTCTCTCTCCTTCTCCTTCCCTTCTTCTCTCTCTAAAAATAAATACATAAAATCTTTAAAATAAAAAACCCATTTAACATCTCTCCAGTTTCTTTCCCTTTAACAACTTTAGCAGATGCTCAAAACTGACAGATTTCCTACTGACTCACAAACAAGAAAGCAAAACCAAGGCATGTGGGTGTCCTTGTAGAGACTTCTCACTGCCTGGGATGGAATGTTCTTCCTCTTTCCTTTGCCAGCTAATCCTTAATTGGGCTTCAAGTCTTGGCTCACTACCAAGGATTAGTAATGGCACTACCTTCTGGAGGCCTTCCGCATGTGTCCCTGTTGGGTGAGGCACCTATCTGTCGTCCTATCTCCCCAAGCACCTGTGGACACAATCCTCCCACCCACCACAGCACTTCTGCACTGTGGATCAATTGTTTACACACAGTGTAATGGCTTGCTCCCATATCTCCAACCTCAGTAGGCAGTCACCTATTCTAAGAGCCATCTCTGTCTGCCTGTTTACAATGTGCCAAGTGCTAAACTGATACATCATCTAGAAGGCACAACCTTACAAGTAAATACTATGATTCCCTTTTCAAAAATGAGGAAGCTGTGGCTCAGAGAGCTCGACAACTTTCCCAAAGACCTATACCTAGTAAATGGTCATGTGGGATTTAAATACAGGCCTCACTGGGAAACCTCTGCTACAATTCACCACCTCTCCCTGGGCAGTCCCCTGCCTTCTCTTTGGGTCTCCAAAGCCCTGCATAGTTCCTGGCACAAATCAGTAACCCAGAGTTTGCTACACAAAGGTTACCTCACTTACTGCCACTCCACACTGTGTGTATCCAAGAACCTTATTACATGAGCAGCTGTGAGCGACCTTATCTCTGAATCAGCAGGACTGGACTAACTTGTCCACTAGCTTCACCCTCCAGCAGGTCTCTGGTTACTGAAACCTTTTTTATACAACTGCACAAAAAATTCCAAAGTACTGTTGGCTTTGGCAGAACATATACTAAAGTTGGAACAATACAAAGAAAATTAATTATTAGCACGGGCTCAGCAAAAGGATGACACGCACATTTGTGATAGGTTCCCATTTTTAGAACATCCCAGACATGTTAAACACACAGTGCAATAGACAGATGATGTACTATAGAACTGGATACTTGAAACCTATGAAATTTTATTAACTAATGTCAGCCCAATAATTATTTTTATTTTTATTTTTATTGGTTTTAGAGAGAGAGGAAGCGAGAAAGAGAAACACTGACTTGCTGTTCTACTTAGTTGTGCATTTGCTAGTTGATTCTTGTATGTGCCCTGACTGGGGAGGGACCTGCAAGCTTGGTACTGGGGTGATGTTCTACCCAACTGAGCTACCCGGCCAGGGCTTACCCCAGGAAATGTAGTTTTAAAGAAATCCCCAGACAGATTCAAAAAAGCATAAGCAGACTGTGTCCTTAAAAGGAGCTTAAGATTCTAGAGGCAGAGACAAAACATATATGTAAAACAAGGAGTAAGGTCTGTTTTTTTCCTTTTTATGCTTCACTTTTTATGAAAAAAAGCTAAAATATTACTCTTTCTTATGGTGCCAATGCAAAGTGAGTATAAGCCTGCCGTTTTGAAAGGACAGGAGAAGGAAGGGGGAAGCCCCAGTGGGGAGTGACCATGTACTAGTAATTTATACAGGGAGGCCTCAACCTGTGTGTCCTAGGATTTCTGAGCTTCACTCTTGTTACTGATGGGCTCCCCACCCAGCCAACCCGCAAGACTTGATGGCGTAGTTCAAGGTCTTTAAAACACATACACGTACTAAGAAAATCCCCACCCCTGTAATCACTGTAAGAAATAAAATTTAAAAGATTTAGAAATTGAGAAAAATTAGGCTTAATTCTAAACAGCAAATGGTGAGCAATTTTCCTTAAGTATCTTGGGAACTGCTCTGAGAAATTAGGGGCAAAAGTGAAAACACGAATTAAGGAAGACTTGTCTTCTACCAAGTACTGAGGGGAAAGAAATGTTGGAGAGTCAACATTCCAGAAACCAAATGCTGGAACTGATGCTCTGAAGCGGGGAGGAGCCTGGAAGGGGGTCCAGTGCTCCGGACGCCTGGGCCTTCCAGTGAGGAGGAGACCCAAGTGAAGGGGGAAGCCGGCTGTGGGCAGCGGAAACCCACCCAGCAGGGCCCACCAGCTTCCCTCCTCGAGATCTGCTGGAGGAGGCCCTGGTCCTCCGTGTACCCACCCCCCACAGACAGACTATAAAAAAGGAAACATAAGACAGCAAAGGGAAGGACAGGTGTGCACCTCACGCAACTAAAAAATGACTCGGATTCACTCTTGACACTACATTCAAAAAGGACAAGCACTCGCAAAGGCCTTGTTTAATTCCGGGAACATGAATAATTAATTATTAGGGCAAGACATAGGAAAAGTTTTGCTAAGATTCATATTTCAATCCCAGGAAGAACAAGAATGTTTCTGAAATGTTAAAATGAACTAAATTCAAATGATTTCAAAAGCTCTTCACAAGAGGTATTGAGGAGGACAAAATTTTATTCAAAATTTAATTATACTCATTACAAGTGTTCCAATTATGTCACTTATGAAAGAAATCTTTGTGACAACCTAACATTCCTTCATGAAAGCACCCTAAAACCCCATGGGGTGCCCAAAGGACAAAGCAGGTGGCTCCCTTTCCCGTCCTCCAAACCCCTGCCATCAATGCGCCTCCTCACCTGGGACCCAGATGGACAGAAAGAATAAAAAGCAGAATGATTTAGGGCCCTTTGAAAGCAAGTCTGTCCTCCAAAACTGTATGGGGAAAACACTTTTCTCCATGCAAAACAACTTTGTGTGTCATTTGGAATCGGCACAAGCAAAAGGAGCACCGATGGCCGTTCCCCGCCTCCTCATCCTGTCTTTATTCCTGCTCACTCAAGGGAGAAAGAGTCAGTCTCCCCCTGCATCCAACTGGTGGAGCAATTTAACAAAAGTCGCCGCCTCTGAGAATGAAATGGAAAGTTCATCTGTTGAGTATTTATGGCCATGTGTATTTTTCACCATTGCCCCAGATGATACAATTATTTCCACTTTCAGATGAGGAAATTGAGCCTTTGTGTTTAAATTAATTTGCTCAAGGCCGCACAGAAAGCAATGTGGTAGAGAAGGGGGATGTGAACACCGGCCCACCTGGCTCCAAAGGCCAGCTCTTTCTCCCGCAGCAAACTGCCACCTAGTAACTTACATGTGCCCCACCTTGTCTGGGTACTGACTAGTCCCTCTAACATTGCCTTAACTCCTCACCTCACCCTGATGAGAGGTGGGATGAATCCATCTGGCAGAGTTTTATTTGCCTGTTAGACTAATGTGGTAAAAATGGCTTCTGACACAAGATCTGAATGCTGCTTCGGTCACTAGGTGCCTTTGTTTGGGCCAGAGTGCAGAAACACGGCCCTCCAAAGGGAAGCAGAGGGACTTTTCCTGCTTGATAATTACAGTGGAGAAAGACAACAGACAAACCTTAATCTCAAAGTACCATCTCCAGTTTTACCACCTGC